AGAGTTGAATTTCCTCCTGAATTACACTTTATGGAGTAGCTTTTCAGGTCACAGTCTTGCTTACAAGGTTATGGCTATGATGCTTCAGGCTGCTGAGAGTAGGTGGGTTATAAGCTCTTTATAATGCGAGTGGGCATTGGCAGAGGGTGTTTTTCATGGGGAAAGGGGAAAAGTTGGTGGAAATCTGTTGATCCACTTTCTCCACATCACTCAAGGCTGGCCTGAGACATTTTGAGAGCTGAGGTGAAGCACGAAAGGGAATAAAAATCTACATCAGGAACAAGGGTGGGAGACCAGCAGTGCCTCCTATTTGCCAAGAGGCCACTGTAGAAGTGGCACTGGGAGGCTTCTGGTGAGAAGGCAGCAGATCCAGCCTCCAAGGAGTGTGCCACAGCCATTGCTGCTACTGGGCTAGTGCAGATGTTGCATTCCTTGGAGGCTGAATCTGCTGTCAATGCAGATCCTGCCCCCCAAGGCAGTCACCTCACCTTGCCTCATGTGTGGGCCGGCCCTGACATCGCTCATAATTTTACAAACCTCTTTTTATGTGCTCATTATTGCTTTTCAGTAAGTAGTTTTAAGGAAAGCAGCATGATTTCTGTGTTTGTTTTTCATTAAACTGTAGCAGTTCTCATTTCTTCATCCTTGCAAGCCAATATCCAAGGAGAGTGCCTGTATGAAAATGACTTTCTTTTGGATTGACTGTTACAGTGTGAGGCATAAATGAAACAATGCTACTGTACTATTGAAAGACTAATTAGTCTTATATGGGGAGGCCAGTCACAATCTCTCTGTACAGTGACTTGCTTTTGCAGATTGGAAAAAAAGTAAAATAGAAGGAATCCAAGCAGATGAACACAGAGACTTTGAGGATGCTGTAGAAAAAAACTTATAAAAGAGACACCTGTTAGAAAATTAGATGAAAACAGAGAATTTGGATGTGAATTGGTTAACATAAACATTTGCAGAAAAAACATCAGGATGAAACAGATGCTTTCTAAATAAAGATAACTGGAAAAAATGAAATATTGAGAACTACTAAAACAGAACAAAGCAAAATACAGAAAACAAAAACATGCCAATGCATCTTCCAAAACAAACTTCTAGAAGACAAAAGCAAGATTCCCATTCTCACCTAGCCTTACTTCCCATACTACTACTCTACATATTCAGTAAACTGAAGCCTAGAGTTATGTGAAGTACCTCTGGCATAGTCTTTGCACTTCTTCTATAGAACAAAACAGAGGCTGAAATACAAAGATGTTCATCCTGCTCTGGACAGCATTGCACTCCCCCTGAAAGAGCAAGTATGCAGTTTGAGTGAACACCTTAATCCAGCATTGTCACTTGAGTCCCAGGTGGTCTTAGTGACCTGGAGAGCCTTTAACCATGTTCATTTGGTTAACCAGCAGTGAGCATCCTGGACAGGGTTAGCCTAGCACTGGTGATGCACGCTCTGGCAACCTCTCCACTGGATTATCGTAATGTAGGGATGCAGAACCTGTGGACACCCAGGTGTTGCTAGACTAAAACTCCCATCATCAATGACCACTGACCATGCTGCTGGGACTGATGTGAGTTGTTGTCCAGCAACATCTGGGGGCCAATGGTTCCCATAATGGCATACTGTGTTATATGTAAAGGTAAAGGACCCCTGACAGTTAAGTCCAGTCACGAACGACTCTGGGGTTGCAGTGCTCATCTCACTTTAGTGGCCGAGTGAGCCGACATTTGTCCTCAGACAGTTTTTCTGGGTCATGTGGCCAGCATGACTAAGCCACTTCTGGTGAAACCAGAGCAGTGCACGGAAATGCCATTTACCTTCCCGCTGGAGCAGTACCTATTTATCTACTTGCACTTTGACGTGCTTTCGAACTGCTAGGTTGGCAGGAGCTCGGACCAAGCAACAGGAGCTCACCCCGATGTGGGGATTTGAACCACTGACCTTCCAATCGGCAAGCCCTAGTATCAGTGATTTAGACCACAGTACCACCCACATCCCGTGTTATATGTAGGGCTGCCTTAATTATGATCCAGAAGCTTCAGTCACAGCAAAGCTCCTAAATTTTGATGAGTACAAGAAGGAAATGCAAACAAATGAAACTAAATATAAATTAGCAGGTAGATCTTCACGCTTGACTCCATTAGCAGGCACCAGAAATCTGTGTTTCCATTCTCATTAGTATCATCACAGGGTTGTTGATTAATTGAGGAGGAGAACCACACATGCCGCCTTGAGCTCCTTGCAGGGGAAAGGTAGGATATAAATGCATTTAATGATGATGATGATGATAGCATTTATCTGTCACTACAAAAATGCCTCAAAGTGACTTACAATAATAAAAGCATATGTGATACAAAAATTAAAAGACATCAAAATTATAAAAGAACATCAGCTGAAGAAGAGTACTCATCCTGCAATAAAATAAAAGGGCAAATCCTATCCCACCATACTAAAAGACAAACACCAATACAGGCTTGGGTATCATCAAAACTTATGACCCCAACGAAAAGCCAAATACTTGAGTGAACAAGAATGTTTTTGCCTGTTACCTACAAGTTGATAATGATGGTGCCTGGTGCATCTCTCTGGGGAGAGCAGTGCAAAACCGGGCAGTCACTACTGAAAAGGAACTTCTCATGTGGCCACATTTTGCACTGTCCATGGAGGGGGTACACAAAGATGCAACACAGGTTCTGGGAAGGTTCATGTAGGGAAAGGTGCCTGGTCTGTGTGCCAGTATTTCCCCCTGAGTATGCTCTTTCATGTAGTTGCTATTGGTTGCTGAGATACATGGTTGTGCAAAGACACTTGCATATGGTCCATATAGAAGGCTTAGTTTCTAAGACTAAGAGCGAAGTGGTACTGAAGCCAATACTTTCTAGAATCTGTACCCTGGACCTGATGCCCTGGCTTTGGGTGCTACGAACACAAGAACCTTTGCTACTACACCCAAGCCTATCAGGCATCCGGCAGCACTCTGAACATGCTCGGAGGCAGGCTCTTGTTCCAAACCCAAATCCTAATACAGCTTCTGCCACCCATTTAAAGGGATGCCATGAAGAAACTGTGCAATATTCAAAATTATGAGCTGAGCCCTCAGCTCCGTCCGCCAGGTCTCCTTGTGGGAGCGGAACCTTCAACAAGGTGCCTAAGATGTGAGGAGTGCAATGAGCCGAAAAACGACGCGATACCCGGGCGCTGGGTTTTCCCTGTGTGGCGAACGGAGCTTCCCCGTCTCTTGCACCGGTCCAAGTTAAGACGTCTCTAAGAGACAATGGGCTCTTTCTGCCAGGTGGGCGACTCTGCCCTTTCGCGCTTCGCCTGCCAGCCCACGAGCGACGCGCCTCGCCAAGGAGGCGCTAATCCTCCGTAGCCTTTCTTCTTGTCAGCTGCGCTGTTGGTCTGGCTCGTCCTAACCGACATCCTCATGCTAATGTGCCTGTCTCCAATCCCCAGCAAATGGCCTCAGGCGGGGATTGCTCACTTGGCTTTGTGGAAGAGGGGGATAAGGACGCCTCTTGTGCGAAGGCACTTCCAGCTGAAGGCAGCGCCACGAAAACTCACTCGCTCTGCTCCCGCGACTGCTGCTTCAGCCGTTTGATTCCAGCGCGCGCGACGCCCCCCCCCCCCCCGTCACTCATCCCCCGCGTCCCCACCAGCGTGGAGCTGGCGCGCGGCCAAGAAAGGCTTTCCCGCGTCCGCCCCTCCTCCCTCCCTCGTGGCACACATACATAATGCATCCGTGTAACAGGAGCAGGTCCCTCCTCGGGCATGGCCCGTCGCACGCGAGCCGCCTCCCGGTCCCCTCCCCCCGTGCGCCACCTGCTGCGGAAGACTCCCTTCCTCTTCGTCGCCACGCGGCCTGAGGTAACAAAGCACTGCTAATGAGGCAGCCGCCTGCGCGGCTCCGCTCACTCGCCCGTACCAAGAAGGCGGGAAACCAGCTTCCCCCACCTCCCCGCCCGCCCCGCGAGCACCTGCTCCGCTTGACTGGCGTCCGGAAGGGCAACTAGACCCCTCGCGGCAAGCACGCGCTTCTGCGCGGATGGGCACCTGCAACTTCTCCCACGCGGCCCCATCACCTCAGCTGCAGCTCCGCGGCTGTCTCCTCGCGCCCGCCCAGCTTGCAGCCTCGAAACAGGCTCAGGGCCACACCGGCGTGGCACTAAGCAGCCTAAGCGGGCAGCGGCAGCAAGTCTGTGGTGGAACTCCAGTCTCTACCTCTCCCCTCACGTATATACATATTTATATATTTCCCACCCGCCGAAATACCCCCCACAGGTGTGTTCCCGTCAAATAAAACCCCCCGCCCCGCTTAGAGGGCAATCTTGGTAGCCCTCCCCGTGTCCCTCCCCGTTTCCCCTCCGCTCTGCAAAGGAAGGCGGACGCCTCTCCCGCCCCTCCTTCCCGGAACGTTTTCTGCAGACCACCCCTCAGCGCTCCTCGTCTAGGCGATTCATTCTTTCTCCCCTCAAATCCCCTCATCCTGTTGCATCGGCTGCTTGCTCCACAGCGTCCCCTCCCCAGTGCCATCGCCTCCCTCCCTCCCTCCCGGGCGCCACGGCTGCTCTGTGTGTGTGTGTGCGCTCTCGCGCGCGTGTGTGTATTGGGGAGGGGGGAGAGGGATGAGGTCATCCTCTTTCCCGGCGTCAGTCAGCTGGGTGGCGGCGGCAGCAGCGGCGGCGGCGGCAAAGCGGCGGGGCGGGCCAGGCCGAGGAAAGGATGGTCTGCTTCGGGGACCGCTCCCCGGGCTGCTCGCGCCTGGGGCTGGGCGGGTGAGCGGGTCTCCCCGCAGGCAGGCGGCGCTCCAGCAGCGCCCGCAGGCGCCGCTGGCCCAGCCCCGTCAGCGCCCCGAGAAGAGCCGCCGAGCGAGCGGCTTGTCCGCGGCAGCAGCAGCGGCGGGGGAGGGAGGGGGCGGACTCCAAGGGGCTCCCGGACGGGGTCCCTCTCCCTGCCGCCGCCGCCGCTCCTGCCGCCGCCGCCTTCCAGCCGCATCATGGCCGCGAAGTCCGACGGGGGGCGGCTGAAGATGAAGAAGGGCAGCGAGGTGGCGTTCACGCCGCTGCAGAACTCGGAGCACTCGGGCTCGGTGCAGGCGCTGGCCTCGGGCTTGCCCTCGGCGGCGGGGCCCGGCGGCGCCGAAGACGACGAGGCGCCTGGCGGCGGCGGCGGCGGCTGCTGCTCATCCGGCGGCTGCCGCTGCTGCTGTAGCGGCGGCGGCGGCGCTCGGGCGGCCGGGGGCTCGCGGGGCTCGGGCGGCGGCTCGTCCTCGCTGTGCCTGCGGCTGGGCCGGGAGCAGCGGCGCTACACGCTGTGGGACGGGCTCTGGATCCTGGCGGCCGTGGCCGTGTACTTCGCGGACGTGGGCACGGACCTCTGGCTGGCGGTCGACTACTACCTGCGCGGCCAGCGCTGGTGGTTTGGGCTGACGCTCTTCTTCGTGCTGCTGGGCTCGCTCTCGGTGCAGGTCTTCAGCTTCCGCTGGTTCGTGCACGACTTCAGCAGCGAGGACGGGGCGGCGGCGGCGGCGGCAGGGGCGCCCGGCTCCTCGTCGGCCGGCGGCCACGGCGAGAGCAAGCTGCTGGTGAGCAGCGGTTCCGCCGCGGGGGACATGGAGGCCGGCGCCCGGCCCGGCACGCCGCAGAGGCAGGCGTCCAATGCCAGCAAGGGCAACGCCACCAACAGCACCAACAGCAGCAGCAGCACCAACGCCGCCGCCGGAGGAGCGGCAGGGGCGGGCGGCGGCGGCGGCGGCATCCGGCCCCCCAAGAGCCGGTCCGCCTCCTGCGCCTTCTGCATCTGGCTCATGCAGTCGCTCATCCATATCCTGCAGCTGGGGCAGATCTGGAGGTAAGGCACGCGCGCTCACCCCGCTCACCTTCCTTGAACTCCCTCCAGCCACGCTGCGCTAAGGAAGGCGCGCAGCCGGGCCTCGGTCGCCTGGGAAAGGGTCCGAAGAGGCTCCGAGCCGGCGACTTGCCGAGCCGGGTCTGACGCCGAGGCCCGGTTGCCTTAACGCTTGGGGAGGCGGGGTGGGGGCTCATCACAGTCTGCCCACCCCCCGCGCTTCTCCAAGGGCAACTGTCTCGTGTCGTGCGCCTTGAACTCTCTGTGTGTCAACGCCCGGGCTTGAATTAACTGACCCGTCAAGGCATCGATTCCTTGCGTGTGCTTGCCCGGGCTGCCACTTAGGGCTTTTCAGGAGCGGCTGAATAGGCACACAATGGAGAGATGGCATCCACGCCCCTTAGGAGACTCGTTTGTTTTTGCACTGTTGGGCTGCGTGATGCTGAGACCTCGCCTGTTTCCCTGCTTGTCTCCTGAGCTTTAAAAGCAGAGATGCGCTTGGCGGGTAATAATGGGTGGGGTCATTCCAAATTCTGAAGCGGAAATACCATATCACTAGGATAATCCATGTGTCTGCTTAAAAAGGAGCACACACAAATTCCAGCCGCAGCTTCAATTGACTTGTTCAGTCACAAGGCGTTATTTCTGAGGCTGTTACTTCTTAAAAAGTAATATGGGGAACAAGCACATGGTTAGTTCTTTAAGGGTCCTATGGCTTTGGTGCCATAACGTCACCTTATGAAAAGGTATATGCAAGAAGTTTAGAGAAGAGGAGCATTGTAAAGGACTGTAGTTTCAAAATCCTGAATAGGTGTTTCAGGCTGCACATTTACTTAGCACTCACTTCTGAGTAAAGGTGGACCCGGCTGTATTGTAAGATGAGTTTGTCAGCAGACTTTGGTTCTCCACACAAAATAAAAGTGTTCGTATGCGCACCCTGTTAAGTCACTTTGAGACCAACAAATGGAATTAATAGTAATAATAAATTAGCATTCACTTTAAAGTGTAATAAAGTATTTGGACAAATTTAGAGAAATGTTAATTTAACCTCTGCATTAAACTACTGTACTTTTTAAAAGGCTCCATGTAACTTCAGGGGTGTGTGTGTGTGTGTGTGTGCGTGTGCGTATGTCTGTCTACTTGATCAAAGTAGAATTCAAGAACCTTGGTTAAGCTTGAAATTGTGATCCAGCTGAAATGACTGCAGATTTTATTATGGGACTGACTAGGATCAGTGGGTTTCCTTTCTTAGTAGCTATGAAGGACACTGCAGGTGAGTACATAGCTGCCTGATTGAATCAATGTGTAAAAAAGTGTTAGAGCACTTAAAAATAGAGGACTATAGTCACTTTGTTCCTGGAGATCTTGGTTGGTGGTCTTACTTAATTCCGACAGCAAGTGTTTTTAGTGATTTATTTAAAAATTGAGGTGGAATGGCTGCAGTGAATTTTAACTGATAGTTGATATTTGTTTTTTAAAGTATATCTGAACCTGTATATAGAACTATATAAAAAGTAACATATGATATAGCTTACAGTTGATGATAATATTGGAGATTCTGGCTTTGTGACTAAAGGTATATTTCAATAAATCTTTGTGTTCATGGATATTTTCTTATAATGTTTCTGAAGGAAGAGAATATTTCTAAAATTCTGCTGTAACATAATATGGAACTTCTTCATTCCAAAATGACATCCACCTTTATCTCCATTACTTCTATTTTAGTCAAAGATCTTTTTATTAAACTGGCCACACCCTATTGCTCACATACTTTGGTTATTTGGACTGTAATCCAAATAATTGATTTCAAAATGTTGTGTCATGACCTGGAAGAAAGAGAGGGGCATTGTGACCTGGGTGAGCACAAAGCAGCTCACTGTTTAGGACACCGTCAGGACTTCCAGGTGAGGATTTGTTAAACTAGGGGTGCTCTGTAGCTAAGGTTGTACAGCAGGGGAGGGGAACTGGATTCAGCCAGTGGAGTGGATTCAGAACTCCCCCACCCTTGTGGGCCACTTTGACAGGTGGGTGGGGCCAGCCAACTGTAAATCACCTGGCACCACCATGATTCAAAGGAAATAATCGGGAGTGCTCCTGATTCTTCCTTTTTTTCTTTGCAGGCATATCTTGAGTTCAAGAAGTGGTTGCAAAGGAACAATCTTTCTTTGTAGCCACTCCTTCAAATCAAACCACACCTGCAAAGGAAGGTTTTAACTGCAGAGAAAACATGTTCTTTTGCATCTCCACTCTGAATTCAATTTAGGGACACACACAAAAAGAATCATCAGCATTTTCTAGCTACGCTCACACCCCTTCTTCCCCTGAAGTCAACGGCCAGCACTTTTTAAAATTTTCCTGCCACTGAGCAGGGTGTCAGGAAAAGATACCAAAATCTCAAAAGCACTGACATTTAGCTCCAAGGGGTGGGGTGGGGAAAGTGTGCACTTTTATTCCTTTGGCTATGGACTGAAATTTCAATATGTGCCATATCTGATCTCATATATGATGTCAGCCCTAGCAAATGTAGATGGGGTTAGCCAAAATGACCTTCCAAAGCTGGCGAGTCTCATTTGACCCATGGGCTGAAGGTTCCCCACTACTGTTGTATGATATTGAGAAGATGGCATCATTGTTGAATGCTAGAATTGGAAACTACATGCAGCCTTTGAGACACTTTAGCATTGCCTCCTCGTTCTTATCAGAATATCTGCTTTTATTTTAAAAATGAGGGCTTATTACTTTTCCCACCATGAGAATCAACACTATTTTTAAAAAATCACACATTTACACACTTTAGAGTTTTGATATGTACATTGTTTATCATTTTTTCACCAAAGATAGGCATTAATAGTTGTTTTTTTAAAAATACATGAAAAGCAGATATATGGCAAAGCTTGGGGTTCAAAAGTAGGCATTCCTCATCATTTTAAAATTTCATATATATATCCATTCCATGTTGCGGGATATTTTGGACCAAAAGGTATATAAACTAAACATAATACTATATTAGACCCCATTTGGTAAAGCACATGAGAATCACTAATAAAAATATTATTAAGAATCATGTAGATACATTGGAAATCTAGGCTGAAAATTGTTTTATGTGATATATTTAATATGTATTATTACATGTGCAGACAAATTATTCTAGCATTTGTTGTTGTTGATGTTGTTATATTGGCTCTATTTCTGACCGCACTTGGTGCAGTTAACAGTCAAGCAAAGCCTAGTAAAGTAACAGTTTTGTCACTTCTCATTTCTGTGTTTTCCCTGCTAACATTTCCTGGCCTTAGCAGTAGGGCTGGAGGTGCTGTGGGTCATTTAGAGAAAGTGGAAAAGGAAGAATATCAGCAAGAATTCAGGAGACAAGCATTGATATTTCCCAGCGGTAGCACTGGTCTTCTATCCCATCATCTTAATGTACTTGGAACTTTGGAAGTTGCACAGGATATGGTGAAAAGTACTTTGCACTAACAGAACAAGAGAGCAGCACTGGCCAGTGAGGTGGGTCTCTGGCTGGCACCCAGTAGCAATCATCCAGCGCAGCAAAGCTCATTCTTACTAGTAACTATCAGGAATCGAGAACCATGTGAATGCATGGTTGCTGAGTGACTAATAGTTCCTAGTGTTAGAATTGGCTTCCAACATTGGTGGTGCTAGTCGGACAGCAACCATGTGCTTCCACAGTGCTGACTGAGACACACCCTGCCACCTCATGACAGTTAACAACAAACTGCAGCTTTTCCTCTCCTGTCTTGATTGCCCTGCAGGGGTGGCTGATGATTTCCTCTAGCAAGACACCTCAATGGCTATCAGTAGGCATGTGTGAATCCCTATCCCACCATCCTGTGCGTAGACTGAATCTTTCTCGTTGTCCTGTGTTGCATGCAAAAGTCTATCCTCCCCTGCCCTTGTGCAGTGAACTGCATGTTTTGCACTGTTCATATTTATGGTTAGACATCTTCATTACACTTTCATTACCTAAGGAATCATGTCCAAGCAGTGCCTATTTTAATCTTAGTCAAACCAATTTCTTTTGTAAAGTCAATAGCCTGGGACATTTTCCCTTTTTTGGACATACTGTTGCATAACTAAAGAATGACTTGTTGCCCCAGTTACTAAAGGTAAGAAATATTTTTTGGAAACAACAATGCCCACATAACCTACACCACACCAAATTCATTCAAAGGCTAATGGGGTAAATAAGACAAGGAGGAGCTTTAGTTCCAGGATACACTTTGAAATGCTGAAACATATGGAATTTGTGCAAAAATGTGAAGAATTTTTCTGACATCCCTAGCTGCAACTGCAGGAGACATCTGTTGAAATGGTTGCAAGGAGAGACAGAAGGATGGCTGGGGAGGGAGGACAGAAGTAGAGAGGATATATCATGTTCCCCTTCCCCACTTTTTTCCTCTTTCTTCCCTAGAGATGTAAATTGCTGATTCTTTGGTATATTTGTCCTCTCATATAATCTCACGATAAAATATGTAATTCACTTATAATTGTGACATTTGTTAAGCCACTGAATTGTTGGAACCCATTTATTCTTGGTAATACAGCTAAGTTCAAATTTTCTTTACAAATATAAATGCTATTGTTGAAAACAGTTATGTATTATTATTTTTAATTAAAGCATACTAATTGGGAATTAATGGGGGTTTTAATGTTGCATGCACAGGGTGATGCTGTGAAAAAGCTACTTAAAATGATTAAAATGAACATTTTACTAGGGTGCGTGGAAAGTGATGCCTGCCACTGATGACGATTTATGAATAATAATTAAAACTGCCTTCTTTGTGTTCTGCCTCTCATTTCTACAAATGTCAATGTTGAACTCTGGCATAGAATGCACAAACGAAAAGTTGAAACAGGTATTGGAGGTGATCAGGGAGTTCATGTTCCTGCTATAGTCTGAATACTTGATACAGCCAGATAGTTGTTTTGCTTCAGCCGGGAGTCAGAGTCTTATCACCTTATGGTATTTTATTGTTTATTCTTATCTTTTATCGTCCCCTTCCTATTGAATTTCTCAGTATAAAGCTATGGATATTTTGACAAATATATGCATTTTGTATTGATGTTATGTGTATGTACATGCAGCACTCTTAACTCACATCTTGTGTGTGCTATAACAGACTTACTGGAAATGAGAATCTACCCCATAAATGTGCTTTCAGCAAGTGCCGGAAGAAGCAGTTATTTCAATGAAGGTTCTGGGAAGCACTACATGAGCAATGATGTCATTTGGAAGTATTCAAATGGTGCAGGCAGGTGGAGGCATCTTCCTATCTTGTGGGAAGGTAGAGAGATGTGGATTTCTTTCTCTGATTTTTACCTAATCTGGCTTCTTTTCCCACCAAATGTAAAAAAGAAATTCATAGAAACACAGAGTTGGAAGGGGCTTAGGAGGTCATCTAATTCACCCCCCTGTGCAATGCAGGATGCAACCACTGCATCCCTAATGTTTATCCAGTCTCTGCTTAAATAATTCCAGTGACAAAGACTTCATCACCTTATGAGGCTGTCTGGTTTTTCCTGTTAGCTAAAATTTGCTTTCCTGCACTTCCCCAAAGGCAGATCTAGGGGCGCGCAGCCAATTTGGTCGCACCACATGCAGAGCTTCTGGTCGGTGTAGCAAGCACCACAACTATGATGTTGAACGGGAGGTGTGGGGGCACCGGATTTTGGTGTTGCACAGGGCACCACTGAAATTTGAGGTGCCGAGGTCTGCCACTGACTTTCCTTTTGTTCTTGTCCTTCTCTTTGGGTCAACAAATATATATTTTACTACCACACTATAGAAAGCTCTAGCTACCCAGCCTAGCTCTGAAGTAGAGATTTCCCCCTCTTCTTTCTGTTATTTGGAGTGGGGAATGGCTTCCTCAAAATATATCTGCAAAAATCTGCATCTGAAATTAGTCCAGTATAGCTGCATAGTATAGCTGGCGGGGGGGGGGGGGGAGCAGGGTGTGAATAGTGGAGAGAACATTACAAAGCCCAGCTGAGACTGAAAGTTACTCACTTACTTAACTTATACATACATACTTTCTCAAAGTGGCTTCTATACAACAACAACAACTACTACTACTACTACTCCATAGCCAGACTAGCGTAATTTAGTACATACAGGGGCTATGATGGCCAAGCCTGCCACTCACTCAAGTGTAAATAATGTTAATTATTTATTTTAAAGTGTATACCTTGCCCAATTTTCAAAAGAAATTCAAGGAACCTAATGAATTCAAATGCAACAACCATATTAAAATATATTCCTATTGCAACATTACATTATAAAATCAAAATATCAATATACAGTCATACCTCGGGTTACAGACGCTTCAGATTGCATTTTTTCCGGTTACGGACCTGCCAAAACCTGGAAGTACTGGAACAGGTTACTTCTAGGTTTTGGCGGTTGCGCATGCACAGAAGTGCTAAATCGCACTTTGCGCATGTGGAGAAGTGCTGAATCGCAACCCACACATGTGCAGAGGCACCGCTGTGGGTTGTGAATGCTGCGGGTTGCGAACGTGCATCCCACATGGATCATGTTCACAACCCGAGCGTCCACTGTATATCAAATCTAAACCACAATAAATAATTTCAAAACAACCACCAGAACCAAAACATCAGAGATTAAACAATCAGCCACATGCATCTATAAGCAGCCACATTTTTTACCAACTAGCTAAAAATAGTGCAGTGATGGGGCTTGGTGCATCTCACTTAGTAAGGTGTTCCAGAGGACAGGAACTACTAACCTTGCCCTCGTCACTGGAAGCTGTGCCTCAGGGTGTGAGAGATTTAGAGCAGGGCAACAGATGATGACAGAGGCCTCAGGGTGTGAGAGATTTAGAGCAGGGCAACAGATGATGACAGAGCATGTGCAGCGGGACATATGAAGGTAAATCTTAAGTAACCCAGTCACAAGCTTTTAGGTCTTTAAAAATTAGCACTAGCACCTTGAATTGAATCTGGAAACAAACCAAGAGTTCACTGTTAATTTGGCCACTCATGGATTCAAATTTATCATGTATTTCTAAAGTAGGGGAATGGGTTGTTCATTTTGTTTCTGTATATGGGCATGATGAATTAAAGCACAGACCAATCATGGTTTGTGAATCCTATCATTCCATTTTGAACTGTGTTTGGTAAAGCAAGTCATTTTTGGGACAGGGTGAGGACACAAAAATAACTTGATTAATCCCTAGCCCCAATTCAAGCTGAATTGGGACTTGGGCATCACTGGGACTTGGGCATCACTGAGAATGCCACATAATCTGACTCCTTCCCTTCCAAGTTCCTAGGAGCTCCTCAACCCCTTCCTGGCTGCTTCTGCTAGTGCATCAGCAATTCCTCCTGACATTGTTGCTCCCTTTTTCAACAGCAGCAGCTGGCAAAGAAGGCACTCCATCCTTCTGTCCCTTTTCCTCTGTCCCTTTATCTTCTCCTTCTCTCTCTCTCTCTCCATCCCATTCTCCTTTATTCCCATGAGCAGAAAATAATGTGTTTGTAGTATGTGTATGAATGAATAATTTTCTTGTGCTCACAAGAAAATCATGTATGCATATGAGTGTACATGATACTTTGCATTAGGGTGAATGTCTGAAACTGTCTCAGAAATAGATGTTGTATGAGTAAGACATACAGTGATCTGTGATTTGTGTTAGGAACATTTCCTGTTCTTGCACATGGCCCCATAGTTCTCCTAGTTCCCCTCCCATCTCTCTTCAGTAAGTTTGTGTCGTTCTAATTCTAATGTATTCAAAACCTCAACATATGTGATTATTGCAAATTTTATTGAGTGAAGAGTCTGTGGAATTTCAATTCTTGTTCAGTGCAAAATCAGATCATACTAATAGTATAGATAAGACCTGTAGGTCTTACAGGTGGGGGAAAACAAAACAAAAGAGAAAATATTAAAGTGGCAGGGGCTGATATTAGAGGAAGCTCCTCAAATAAGTTACTATATGCTAAATAAAAGAGCAGGTAACAAGTGAAGAGAAAAAAAGGGAAACTTGGCAAAATTAAAATAAAATAATTCAATTTTTGAATAAAGTGGAAATTATTAAGTATAGTAATAAAAGTGTTCATTAAAACTGATAAGGAAAAATATTTTCATGACTTTCTCAATTCAATGCATTATCTGGGGAGTATCATCTAAATTAGAAATAATAATGGCTTGCTGCTGTCATGCATGAGACAGAAGTAGCACCAAAGAGAGAACAATCCCTGGGGCAGAATGGAATCCCCAGTAAATCTCTGAAGGCACTCAACAGCATTACGTAACCCTGATACAAATGCATATATCTGTGTGCAGGAGGGCTATGGATGGGAGGGAGCAGTACTAGGAAGATTTCTATGCATGGAGCAGCACACACAGCAGGGACTAGAAAGGATGTGGTTGGGGACGAGTGAAACTCCTGAATTCAACTTTTAATGGGTGGGGATGTTTAAAGCACAGGGAGCTAATAATTTAGCACCGGTTTTTCAAGACAAAGTAGACACCAAGGAATGTGGAAATTATAAAGGTGTTAAGTTAATGAACCATATAATGAAGTTGTGGGAAAGGCTCATGGTACAATGTCCTAGACACAAGTAGATGAGGTCAGTGATAATCAATTCTTTTCCAGACTAGGGAAAAAATACAATCAATGCCACTTTGTGCCTAGATTTCTACAAATGAAATACTGGCTAGTAATAGTGTCTGATGATCTGTGCAGCATTTTTTACCCCTGGAAAAAAATCAAACAAGTCCTAAGTAATATAAAATTCCTAATTTGGATATAATAAGGGCGTTTATCATATAATTAGAGGCTCTCTTTCAGGTCTGAGCTGAACCTATTTCAGTAAAGTTTGTCATAGTGATTAGTGCTTAATAGCAGTGGTTTAGTATTGTGGTTGGGGAAATCTAGAACAATGGATCGGAGTGTATATTTTGGGAACACGAAGAAACACTGCAGGATGTGATGAAAAATTAGAGTAGGCTGGGACTATGGCCCAGTTCAGATGATAATTCTAAACCACCTAATAAATGATTGTGAACAAACCATGGTGAATGTCAGGCTCACATGCTCTCCATTAATCCCCCTCCTTTGAACTTGAGAGGAGCAGAGTATAAGTTTCTGCATTCACATTAGAACAAACCTCAGTTCCATGTTACATACAAGAAAATGAGGTTTGTTCTAGCTAAAGAGGGGGTTTGTTCACAGTTCCACTTGTCCTGTGCCTAGAAAGCATGGGTCTGAGAGCTTTCTCACTTGTCCCATGTTTGCTAGGATAAGGGCTTTTCCACACTACCGTTTGCCCCACCACTTTCCCCTGCTTTAGCAATGAATTGGAACCAATGGCAGTCCACAGAAAGCCAGATTGCTGTTTGCTCTGATTCAACACTAATCCATGGGTTTTCCCAGGGAAAAGTGGCAGGGAAACGGAAGTGTGGATAAGCCCTTAGTTAACTAATTTGGATATCAAATCACAATTTAATCTGGTTTTCTTAAACTAACTTCTTTCAGAACAAACCATAACTCCCTGAATTGATGCAAAACAAGGAGCTGCAGTTTGTTCTTAAGTAAAAAGTGAAAGCTTCAATTTTCATGCAGGTAAATCCAGGGCTCATTCCTACTCACCTAAAGCATGATCAGAACCAGGACTATGTTTGCATCAGTACACAGAAACTAGAATGACACAGGGAACAGCTGTGGTACAAGGAAGTTGCCTGAATGCTGGTGAGAAGGACCCAAATCATTCTATACACGTATGAATGATTTGTGGGATGCATTCATTGTACATATGAAGGTCCTACACTGTGATGCTGGAAAAATGTAGTTTAAACCTGCATGGATTGTAGTATGGGAGGAACAATACAGGAAAATGCATGGATGGAAAGGTTAAAAGCAAGGATGACAAATGGAATGGCATAAGTGTAGTCTATGGAATTGAAGACAAATGTATCTATTTTGAATATATAAGGAACTTCTTTTTCACAAGTCAGAATAACCGCTTTCCTAGTCTGTAATTCTCAATTTCGACTTGTACATTTTTACTTATCCATAATGTTTTAGGAAAGAGGTTAAAGCACAAGACAATTACAGTGGTACCTCAGGTTACAAACTTAATTCATTCCGGAGGTCCGTTCTTAACCCCAAACCGTTCTTAACCTGAGGTGCACTTTTGCTAATGGGGCCTTCTGCGCCACCACCACATGATTTTCATTATCCTGGGGCAAAGTTCTCAACCCAAGGTACTACTTTTGGGTTAGCAGAGTTTGTAACCCAATGTGTTTGTAACCCAAAGTGTTTGTAACCCGAGGTACCACTGTACTGTAAGAAAATAACACAGTCCAGAATCAAAAAAGTTCCTTAAAATACTTGCTCTAGACCAGGGACGTCCAACTCCCAATAAACTGTGATCTACTATCAGTATAAAAAAACTGGCAGTGATCTACCCATTGTCGTAAAAAGACTGGCAGTGATCTCACCAAAATTATGGAGCTTTTTTTAGGAAGCCAAAGTTTTTTGCTTTCTTTGTAAAAAGGTCACTGAGGGGCCAGAGATCAACCAGGATATACAAGGAACACCCTACGCTCTACCAGTAGATTGTGATCTACCTGTTGGACATGCCTGCTCTAGATTAGTCGAATTTTATTACTTATTTGTGGACACCCAAATCATGTTGCAAACAACTCACCTGAATTTTGAAACACTGTTTTGAAAATCACATGAATTTTTAAATATGTTTTCCATCTGACACAGGAGTGCTCAGAGTTCAAGAAAATGCATTCTGAAGCTTCTTTGGACTCCATATTTCTTTGGATCACATACATTGGATACCAAGTGCTAAAAGTTGGGGAAATATGTTTTGTTTTTTGGTGTTTCAGCTATGACCCAAATGTGTGGGATTAACTATGACCTCAAGGTTAAAGGCTGTAGTATCTTTCTTTTTCTTTTTTTCCTCTTTTCGGGAATGTGTAAAAACTAGTTTTAAAATGGTACATGTAAACAGTGAAATGACAAAGGCCACTCAAACTCCATAGCCTGTTTGTTTGTTTGTTTACCATATTCAGTGACAGCAAGGGTCAAGAGGATCATGTGTATGTTCATTGAGCCTTGTCCCTCTAGGCTGTGTCTGAATTGGAGTCTATCCCAGTTATATTTTCAGTGCTTTCAATTCATGGTGCTTGCAGCACATTTCCCTCTTGCTGCGTGATCCTTGTCAGCAACTGTAACTCATGCTGGTTTCTCTCTCTCTCTCTCTCTCTCTCTCTCACACACACACACACGTTTTCACATGTTGTCCAATTCTAGAATAACTTGTCTAACTCATGGAACTCCAAGGGTGTATTTGTATGTTTGTCAATTGTTTGTCAATCCTTTCAGCCAATATTTTAATTTCTCAGATGTGATAGTCAAGAGTACTGGTTAACATTACATTTATGTCTACTGGGACACCATCACTTGAAGCATTCCTCCCCTCCTTTTTGACTGGGTGCATTTTGCCACAGTAATTAGAAGTTACATTGATTTTTAAATGAGCCTCACCTAGATGCTATTTGTGGGCCACGCTTTATAGTGACATTAAATCAAGATTTAATGTTGAAGACAAGATGGCATTGCGTTTCTGAAGTAATTAGGACATGTTTCACATAATGTGTTTTATACAAACATTTTGCTTATTCATATATTGTTCTAATTTTAGGACATGTTATTGTTACTAGGTATGATAACAGTCCATCTCACAACATGGAAGTAGTCCCACCCCCAAGTTTAATCTGAGCTAGGACTTACCATGGCTCACCCCAGAAGAACATACTTTGAATGTTTTGGAATGTTGACTATCAATAATACATATGTGAGCAATAGTTATGAAGAGAATGCATCTGTTCATAGAGAGAATGCCTTTCCATTACTAATCACTGTTAGTCCACAGATATTTGGGATTAGAGAGGAGGACTTCATGTGGTTTCCACATAGGTGCATACTGCACCAATCTCTGTTTCTGTCTCTCTCATAGTGCTTTGTCTGATGGATAGGTGTACTTCTCATTAATTTATCCCTCTTTTGGTTTGCTGGTCTAGGACTTGCTTTTACCCTCTGCTTCTTGGATACTGTGGGTATAAAATGTGTTGTATGTCAGTTATGCATGTTGTAACTCATGAAAGGCCAAATATGCAGATAGAGAAAAGTAGATGACCCCTCAGAAATACAGATTCACACCTGATATATTCCTGAAATATCTATATTAATGACGCATCATATTTATGAATATTAACTTTAGCAAGACAGGTAACTTCAGTGCTGTGCTGCTGTTTATTTCTTGGCATGAGAAATGTTTTTGCACTCAAGGAAGTAAGAATGGGAATTGAACTAATGCTGAAAATGGCCTCATGCTTATGTAGAGTGTAATTCATTGATATGAATGAGCTTTTTAAAGGTAGTAGCTGAATGCTGCCAAGGCCACTCTTGCACTGTCTGGGTATATTATTCAAAACATTTGTGCACAAAGTCTTCACTTTCTTCTAGAGCAATATGCCCTGCCCACATCTTTTTACACAAAGCTTTCCCAAGTTGTCAAGCTGATGTGTGCACTGGACTGGGTCTGAAGTTTCTGTGTCTTTTGAGAATGTTATATTTTGTTATGGAAAAAAAAACAAAACCTTACAGATACATCCACGGGGTAATATGGCAACTCACATTCCCCTCTTCTCTGAGTACGTAAGAGAGGTGCTTATCATTGCCTGTTAGGGGAAAATAAAACTTCCCACTGCTGACTGGCAAGGGAGCCAGTGTGGTGTAGTGGTTAAGAGCGGTAGTCTCGTAATCTGGGGAACTGGGTTCGCGTCCCCGCTCCTCCACATGCAGCTGCTGGGTGACCTTGGGCTAGTCACACTTCTCTGAAGTCTCTCAGCCCCACTCACCTCACAGAGTGTTTGTTGTGGGGGAGGAAGGGAAAGAAGAATGTTAGCTGCTTTGAAACTCCTTAGGGTAGTGATGAAGCGGGATATCAAATCCAAACTCTTCTTCTTCTTCTTCTTCTTCTTCTTCTTCTTCTTCTTCTTCTTCTTCTTCTTCTTTATGGAATGGTGAGGCCACTACTGCATCTGCAGCCCTCCTGTGATGATGGATGATCAGAAAACAAGGCCAGGATGATCACTGTGCCAACATGCAACTGGTATAGTGATCAGGCACAGATTAGGTCTGATATCATAACATGACAATAGTGGGATCAGCTCAGGATCTAATGGCTCCCAGGATGGCTTAGCCACAACCCTCCCAGCCTCTGGAACACCCTGTTTTGGAGCTTTCTGCAGGCTATTACCAGCAGCATACCCACCACCAGCACTTCTGCCCACCCAAAAGTTCAGCAGGCAGAATGGAAAGCTCTGAACCAGTAGCATGCAGCAGGTGGCCAGTTTGCCCAATAGAGCTGGGTGGAGGAACACCTCTGTCCAATCCAAGTCCCTCCTACCCAAACCTGGTAAACATGGGAGAGGGTTTGCTCTGTTGCTTTCAAAGGAAAATTAGAATTTCTTATGGCTCTCTGTTCCTTGATGGATAAGTCGCTGAAAAAGAACATGTTGTAACTGGATATAAATATTTAACATTAGAATATTAATGATAAGATGATTCTTGCTGAGGAGCCGAGGAGCCAGAGGTAGCTGATAGGGAAGTTAGGGATGCATCTTCTTTTCCCCCAGTACCAAACTCCAAACTCCAAGGTTTATGCATTTGACAGGGGAGGTTGTGAGAGTTCGTGTTAATTGTGAATGGTTTATAAAACAATTCAGTGTTACCTCTCATGCCCACTATTTTCAGGACAATTACTTACAAAACACTAGGTGAGATTAAATTAATAATTTTTATCCATCCCAAAACTGTAAAGGTTACCCTTGCAGTTATCCTTCAAAATTAAGTAGGATCAATCTCTTCCAAAGGGTCAAATCTGCTTGCAAATTTCATCTAATTCTGCTAGAAATTAAAAAATCTATAGATATTTCCTTTTAAAAGAAAGTCGTCGTCATCAAACTTTTAAAAAAGTGCTCAACACAAAAGATCCTGGTTGTATTTGCTTGTAATTTGGTAGGTTTAATACACTCTGAAGGGCTACTGTGCCTGCAAATTTCATTGATTTTTTGCAAAAGCAAAAAGTTATATAGTAATTGCCTTCTCCCATAGTGAATGGGCCTTTTGTCTGAAACAGATTTGGCCTGGGACCCTGAACTGAATTGGGCAGCCTTTGAATTACTTTGGACCAAGGCAGGCTGTGTTTCAAAGCTCCTAATTGCTTTAGTACTAAATCTTCTGTTGAGTATACACTCATAGTACTTATGATATTGCAAGAAATATTCTGCTCAAGCTGGCACTGCCATGCAAGGAATATTGCTGTTTTCTCAGTACCAAATGATTTGAGAATACCATCTGCAGCAAACCGAGGAACTTATTCTGTGTTAAATACTTTATTAAATTTTACATTGCAAAAACATATAATATTTGGCAGAAAATAATAAGGCTATAATAGCAATGTCTTTTTTTTTTAATAAAAAAAAACACAATAGTGCCAGCATACACTTTAAAAATGGGATAAAACTGCCAAATTAAGGGGCTGCTCTACAGCAGCAACTATCAGTTGCTCTTCCAGCAGTAGGTGGCACTGTAACCAGAAATAGGAAGCTAGCTGTATAATTACTTTTGTTCTAATTTATAAAGCTATAATTCAGTTCCTTGTTAATTCTGGCCTAGTCTCTTCTCAATAATAATCTGATATAATGTCACCAATGTAATAAAAGACACCAGGACTCTCTGCCATTGCAGTTTTTGCTCTGGAAAGGTTCAACTTTGACAGAATCATCAAAAGGAATTTTTTGCTAGTTTTTGCCTAGCAACAAGGCTTCTCTGGGAAATGGGGGTAGTGCAGTCTTCTTCCCTAATCTATGCCAACTGACCACATTTTCAAACATTTTGCCGCCTCATAGGAGTCATAAGAACAATTATACAGAGGTGCAGGCCAATTGTGTACTAACTCTTAAAGAAATTTCAGAGGGTCAACCCTTTGCACTTCAGTAGGAATGGCAAGGGAACCCAAGATGGTTAAAAATAAGAAGAGAGATCAGAAATAACTTGGATGTAACTTCTGGATGTGACTAGTGAAAAGAGTCCCAACAAAAGAAACCATCCATGCAGAAAAATCAATTAGTGGAAACCATCAAATACAGTACGGGGTGAAACTTGTTGCCAGCAGGTTTCACACCCCAGAGTGTGTTGTCCTCACCCCTGCCCCTTACAGGCCTCCAGAGCTGCTGCCTGTGACATGCATACAAGTATGTCATCTTCCACATGACACCAATCTAGATTAGAATTGGCCTTTCCCTCAGTGGCCAGATGACCTCACAATGTCAACTGGATGTAAGGCTGCCAGAGATAAGGCATGGCTAGTCAAGCTGCCTGTCAGCCACAACTAAAGGTACCCTTTTCTTTCAGAGAAAGCACCGTTGATGTAGTTTAACCTAGTTGCTGAACTTGTTCCATCAATGAGATGCTGCCAGAGGGGGTTGAATTGTCATCACTGGGAATGGGAGAGAAGTTTGTCCAGTCCACAGTTTCATGTGCCCCTAGCAAAGGCACACTTACTAAGCCAATGCACAAACTGAAACACAGCTCTCCTTCAAAATTTGCACTGCAATGCAGTTCTTTAACTTAAAAACGCATAGGAAAGTGTATACATTAGTGAAATGTGCACAAAAACAAACCTATTCGTGAAAATAACACACACAAATGCATGCTATTAGGAGAAAACTGATTGCAAAAATGCATACACTAAGCAAAAACAGCATACAAGACTGCCAATACTAGGAAAAACATGCATGAAAATGTGTACAGTGGTACCTCGGGTTACAGATGTTTCAGGTTACATATGCTTCAGGTTACAGACTCTGCTAACCCATAAATATTACCTCGGGTTAAGAACTTTGCTTCAGAATGAGAACAGAAATCGTGTTCCAGCGGCGCAGCAGCAGTGGGAGGCCCCATTAGCTAAAGTGGTGCTTCAGGTTAAGAACAGTTTCAGGTTAAGAACGGACCCCCGGAACAAATTAAGTACATAACTAGAGGTACCACTGTATGACATTTCACATCGACTTTCAAATTATCAAACATACGGTATTTGGAAATGAACTTAAGACTGGAAAATGAACTTAAGACCCAAACTGACAATCATTCCTAGTCATCCCAAGTACTTTGAAGAAGAGAGATTTAGAACTTACCCACGAGGAACTCCAAGGACTTTACAAAGTGCCATTAACAAAACAAACAGATGGTGTGGTAGTGTGGCATGTGTGAAGGTAGGCAAATAAAGCCATCTATCTTGTTGTAGATCAGGGAAAGCATAAATAGTGACAGTTCAATTTTCCTTACATTAACAGTAATGAGAGTGAAACCTGAGTTGTCACAAAACAACAGTAGCAGTTGCATTTAACCAACTTAACTGCCTCATATATCATGACTAAGAGAACTACCTGTTTCTGCAGAACATGTTTTAAAATCAGCCCACTTCAGGCTGCTGAAATGCTGAGCTTCGTGATACCATTGGCTGCTGCATAGGCTAGTAAGCATTTTGGATAGGATTAAGTCACTGCTCTACTGGTGCAACATCACTGTGGTGATGTGATGTTGCAGATGGAGTCAGTACTTCAGGTTGCTGACCATATTTGGTGAGGTAGCATGACAGGAATACAGCTAAAGCACCATGGTGCAAATTTAACTAGGACTTCAATCCAATACACACTTCCCTAGCAATAAGCCCCACTGAAATCAGTGGGACTGCCTTCTCAGTAGACATTTACTGAATTGCACTGTTGTGCAATTCAATTCACCACCTGTACCTGCAGGGGTTGTGTTGTATCAATGTATTTGAGGACTGCATGTTTTGAGGATTGCAGTTCACAAAGGGGTAAATCCACACAACATAATCTAAGACAAACTTGTGTAGAAGAGCAAATACCTGTCAAATAGCACAGTTATATGCTAAGACTTAATATGGAATTATTGCTTTAGATAGCCACCATCATACAGTTTGTAGCAAGGACTTCAAATGCAATTTAATTAAATGAAGCTGAATGGCTCAAGGAGCATGTCGGTGAAGTATTTAAAAGTGATTAATGTTAAAGTTACATTTATGTGTGTGCACTTTGCTTGCACAAATGTTTAATACAATAACTGAAAACTACACATAACACAACCTTATTAGGAAAAATAAATCCCTTAACATTTTATACACAGTGTGTCAGGCAAGAAAATGCTACTGCAATCAAAGCAATTAACAAAGATTTACCAGAATGAAGCCAAATACAGTAGAGGATAATTAATGACGCTGATACAGCTCAATAATAACTACTTTGAACTCTAAACAATAGTGCATGAACGCATGTGTCAGAAGGACAGATTTTAATTACTGTCAGCAACAATTTGCTATGGGTTAATTAATAATTTGTGATAACTGATTACTGAAATAAGGGCTATGCTAGGATTCTCAAGTATGACATTTCCTCTTGCTGTCTGTGCAGTTATGCAGGTGACATTGTAATATAAATAAAAAAGTGCCCCCCACAAAATAAATGGGAAACCGGATGTTCTGGCATGTGATTGTATCCTTGGCTACATAAATCGATTCTTTCTTTCTTTTTCTTTGTGACTGTTACCTTTGCACAGTATCATATTAGGCTGTATTTTGTGCAGAAAAGGAAATAATCTTCTCTTCAAAAACCACTTCTTTAATAATTTATTTGGGTTTGTAGACTGTCCATAAAGAAATATGAGTAAAGTAATAGTAATTTAATATGTGAAGCAACTGAAGTAGCTTTTCTCCAACATGTATGATCTAAATAAGGTGTGACAGTTTAGGGTCTCCATTCACCCCGTGGCACATTAGTATGAAACTTGGCAAGTGGCTATAGTGCTCTTACATCTTCTGGAAGAGTGAATGAAAGATGCATTATTCAAAGATGGTATTAGTCTGCTTGTTGACGATAAGTCTGCATTTCCAATTTACATCCCTTTGTAATTTTTTTGTGTTTCACTCATAAACTAGATGCTCAGTACAATAGTTCAAATGCAATGTCAAAATAGTAACTTGACACAGAAACTAGAATACGGTGGTTTTTTTAAAGGTGGCAGTCTTTTTCCAAGCTGTACGAAACTGTATGCCTTCAGGAAGGGGTAGCCAATGGTGTTGTTGTCCAGATGCTGTTCCCATCAGGCCCATATGGCCATTGGTCAGGGATAATGGGAGTTGTAGTCTATGTAGAGGAAACCACTTTGGCTTACTGAGTAGATCCATTAAGTGAGATCAGTTTAGAGCCTATTGAGTTATATGCCAGTATCTGTACTTTAATAATGCGCTTTGAATAAATGTACTAAATGTGCGCTCTTTGTGGAGCTACCTTTGAAGGTGACCTGGAAACTGCAACTAATCCAGAACACGGCAGCTAGACTGGTGACTGGGAGTGGCCACCAAGACGACATAACTCCGGTCTTGAAAGACCTACATTGGCTCCCAGTATGTTCCTGAGCACAATTCAAAGTGTTGGTGCTGACCTTTAAAGCCCTAAAGGGCCTCAGTCCGGTATACCTGAAGGAGCATCTCCACCCCCACCACTCTGCCCAGACACTGAGGTCCAGTGCCAAGGGCCTTCTGGCAGTTCCCTCACTGTGAAAAGCCAAGTTACAGGAAACCAGGCAGAGGGCCTTCTTGGTAGTGGCACCCTCCTTGTGGAACACCCTCCCACCAGATGTCAAAGAGAAAAACAACTACCAGATTTTAGAAGACATCTGAAGGCAGCCCTGTTTAGGGAAGCTTTTAATGTTTGACAGATTATTGTATTTTAATATTTTGGGCGGGGTATAAATAAATTATTATTATTATTATTATTATTATCATCATCATCATTAACAACAACAACAACATCATCATTATTATTACTGAAATATGAACAAAGCTAATGCATAGACTAGATTTATTTTAGGAAGAGCGCTTAATTATAAATGCAACAGTATTTGGAAATATCTTATTTCAGGGCATCATTATTCCAGTATGATAGGTGCTTGTGCAGCTGGAACACCTGCACACCACAACTTTACTGCTGTCTTTATGTTGTCAATAGTCCACCATTGTGAAGGGATTTCCACATCTTAATATGTACGTTCTGAAAATATGCATGTTGTAGCAAACAGTTTCAGAATCAAATATAAAACAACAGAAAGACTGTTATCTTTAGACAGAATCATAGAATCATAGAATTATAGAGTTGGAAGAGACCACAAGGGCCATCGAGTCCAACCCCCTGCCAAGCAGGAAACACCATCAGAGCACTCCTGACATATGGTTGTCAAGCCTCTGCTTAAAGACCGCCAAAGAAGGAGACTCCACCACACTCCTTGGCAGCAAATTCCACTGTCGAACAGCTCTTACTGTCAGGAAGTTCTTCCTAATGTTTAGGTGGAATCTTCTTTCTTGTAGTTTGGATCCATTGCTCCGTGTCCGCTTCTCTGGAGCAGCAGAAAACAACCTTTCTCCCTCCTCTATGTGACATCCTTTTATATATTTGAACATGGCTATCATATCACCCCTTAACCTCCTCTTCTCCAGGCTAAACATGCCCAGCTCCCTTAGCCGTTCCTCATAAGGCATCGTTTCCAGGCCTTTGACCATTTTGGTTGCCCTCCTCTGGACACGTTCCAGTTTGTCAGTGTCCTTCTTGAACTGTGGTGCCCAGAACTGGACACAGTACTCCAGGTGAGGTCTGACCAGAGCAGAATACAGTGGCACTATTACTTCCCTTGATCTAGATGCTATACTCCTATTGATGAGGCCCAGAATTGCATTGGCTTTTTTAGCTGCCACGTCACACTGTTGGCTCATGTCAAGTATGTGATCAACCAAGACTCCTAGATCCTTTTCACATGTACTGCTCTCAAGCCAGGTGTCACCCATCTTGTATTTGTGCCTCTCATTTTTTTTGCCCAAGTGCAATACTTTACATTTCTCCCTGTTAAAATTCATCTTGTTTGTTTTTGCCCAGATCTCTAATCTGTCAAGGTCGTTTTGAAGTGTGATCCTGTCCTCTGGGGTGTTAGCCACCCCTCCCAGTTTGGTGTCATCTGCAAATTTGATCAGGATGCCCTTGAGTCCATCATCCAAGTCGTTGATAAAGATGTTGAATAAGACCGGGCCCAAGACAGAACCCTGTGGCACCCCACTAGTCACTCTTCTCCAGGATGAAGAGGAACCATTGATGAGCACCCTTTGGGTTCAGTCAGTCAGCCAGTTACAAATCCACTGAGTGGTAGCATAGTCAAGACCACATTTTACCAGCTTCTTTACAAGAATATCATGGGGCACCTTGTCAAATGCCTTGCTGAAATCAAGGTAGGCTACATCCACTGCGTTCCCTTCATCTACCAGGCTTGTAATTCTGTCAAAAACGAGATCAGGTTAGTCTGACATGACTTATTTTTCAGAAATCCATGCTGACTATTGGTGATCACAGCATTCCTTTCTAGGTGCTCACAGACTGTTTGCTTAATGATCTGCTCCAGAATCTTCCCTGGTATTGATGTCAGACTGACTGGGCGGTAATTATTTGGGTCCTCTCTTTTCCCTTTTTGAAAATAGGGACAACATTTGCCCTCCTCCAGTCTGCCGGGACTTCGCCTGTTCTCCAGGAATTCTCAAAGATGACTGCCAGTGGTTCTGAGATCACATCTGCCAGTTCTTTTAATACTCTTGGATGCAGTTCATCTGCCCCTGGAGACTTGAATACATCTAAACTAGCCAAGTATTCTTGTACTATCTCCTTAGTTATTCTGGGCTGTGTCTGGGCTGAATCATTTGCTCCAAATTCTTCAGGTCGGGCATTGTTTTCTTTATCGGAGAAGACTGAGGCAAAGAAGGCATTGAGGAGTTCAGCCCTTTCTGTGTCCCCTGTTTGCATTTCACCATCCTCTCCTCTGAGTGACCCCACTGTTTCTTTGTTCTTCCTTTTGCTACGAACATACCCATAAAAGCCTTTTTTGTTGCTTTTAACCTCTCTAGCAAGATGAATATTGCTGGGTGAATATTTATCTTCCCAAAGTAAATTAAGTTCTGAAGCAGACAGAGATTTGCATGCTTACAGTCTAGTCCAAGTCTACTGATTTTTTGTTTACTCTCCAGGCATGATTTTGAACAGATAATAAAATTGCTGGTAGAAATACAGTCACAACAAATTCAGGTCTTCCACATTTTGATATTGTCCCACAGATATATATTGTCACATGCTATGAAATCAAGAAGTTTAGACATCAGAGTGTAGAATTTATGCTTACAGTAAATATTTTGTCAAACAGGATTCGAGTTCTTAGGGAAAGATTCCTTAGGCTGGGGGTCCCTAGATAAATTAGGGCTGCTGGGTAGAAATGTTCAGTGGTTTTATAATGTGCTATCATGATAACAAGCATAGCACTCATTTTTTAAACAATAGAAGCATCAGTCAACTGGCTTGATTATCAAATGTTAAGCACCTCAAAACAAAAAAACAAACAAACACCTCTACCTTTTAATTATTGCAACAATTCATTGCTATTCCATCACCATCCCATTATTCAAATGAATCTTTGTAGCACTATTTGCAAAGCTATGCATTCATTCAAAACAATGAAAAGAGGGCAATATGAAGAACTCTGGTTATTTAACAAGCAGTCTCCCAGGTTTTCTTAATTCTGATCATGTGTTCTTAGACACTGGATAACTTTAGAACCAAACTCTGAACCAAACAATGTAATAAGCTGTTGCTACTGGGAATAGGGGAGAAAGCCCAGTGCTTCTACTGCATAAATTCTTGTGCATGACTTATTGTACTTTGGATTATGACTGCTTTTGCAACTAGTCTTCTGCCTTCTTCAAGGGGAGTCTATAAGTTGGTTAGCTGGTCTAGTCAGACTCCACACCTGAAAGATCTGAATTAGAATACCTAGTTTGTTAACTCTTCTTTCCTCTGCCAGTCAGGAGGGATAAACTAGTTGTACGACCACGTACTGTGGTTCTGAATGATTCAGGAGCTTTGAGACCTCCTTAGAATACAATCTTAGATCAAGGCCGCCACCACAGATATATGAGAGCCCGGCCACAATGACTAGTGACTGACAGGAATGATGACCAGTGAAACACACTTATTATACTCATATTATTTATTTGTTGTTATTTATTTCACTTTAACAAACAATGTAGGATGAGCACTGCCTTCATTTTATAGCTCAAATACAAAAGTGTTGCTCATCTACTCTCAGGTTTCTCCTGAGCTTCTATATGTCTTGGGGAGGATTTACCTCACAGGTCCTGTCAGCAGAGGCCTTGCACAAGCACTGCTGCAATGGGATTTCCTCCATCTCTTCTATATGCACACACTCAAGAGTCCCAAAACTGGCTGGGAGGAGGGTTCAGGAGAACCCCCAGAATAGTGAATGGAGAAAGAGCAGGCCATTGTTATGTCCAGCAAACTGAAATGCTTGCAGAAACAAAACACGTGTCTTGGAGCAATGTTGAATTTCACCTCTTGTCTCATGTTTAGTAGACAACCCTAAAATATTTTAAAAAGTAAATAAGAAGGAAGGAACAGCATGACATAAGTAATAGGAGAAGAAAGCTTTGTAGAGGAGCAAAAGGATGAAACACATGGAAGGGTTAGCCGGTAGCAGTGCAGAAAAGTTGAGGCTAGGAAATCAAACCTTTCCAGTTTCTAGGTCACAAAAACATGTATATATCTACTGTTCACAATTGCTCAGGGTTTGTTCTCATCATAATCACCTTTAATAAGCCCCTAAGCTTCTCCAGCCTCTCAAAATATATGAGAAAATGCATTCTTAGGGAGTGAGTCAAAGGTATATATGTCCCTAAAATACAGAGACAGTAGGACTGACTTTTTTGGCAGCTGTAAAAAAGAAACAGAACACTGATAGCTCGGCTAGCATGTTAAACTGAACCTTGCCTGCATCGCAGAAGATTTCACAAGAAAAACAAAATGGGATGTTGTGAGTGATGGAGAATGTGTGGGCAGGTCTATGTGCATCAAATTTAAGAACATGTAATAAAACAACCATAAAGAGAACAATATTAAAATAACAAGCCAAGAGAACGTGGTCAAATGCCACATTTTTACCTGTGCGTAGGTGCATTCAGAGGAGAAAGCATGGTTTGTAGGCAGAAGTATTTAAATTCCCCCTTTTCTCCCTGAAGATGCATAGCGTTATGTCTTTCAAAACAGAATTTTGCCTTCCTACAACACAACTGTACAATACAGTGGTACCTCGGGTTACAAACACTTTGGGTTACAAACGCTTTGGGTTACAAACTCTGCAAGTAGTACCTTGGGTTGAGAACTTTGCCCCAGGATGAGAATGGAAATCGCACGCCGGCGACACGGCAGGCCCCATTAGCAAAAGCGTGCCTCAGGTTAAGAATAGTTTTGGGTTAAGAACGGACCTCCAGAACGAATTACTGTAAGTTTGCAATCCAAGGTTTTGCTCTTTAACTATAACTTCCTTAACCAAAGTACTAAAAATATATTTCAATAGGCGTTATTTTTCATTGGTACTGACTATAAAGTTTTGTCTTGAGGGCTTACTAGAAAAAAGCAGTTGTGGAAGCAGCTGTTTGGCTGTTTTTCTTTCTTAAACTGAATTGCTCCGACAATGGGCAGTGGGAGACCCATCTTTTCCCCTTCACAATGCCTTTAGAATGATGCTACATCATAATGTAGAACCATTTCTAGTGGGGCATGGGAGAGGAAGACATGGCAGCCTGCTGGGTGCCGATAGCTGCGGCTCCATGGCAGAACAGGTTTTTTTTTTTAAAAAAAGCATTCCAATAAAAGTACCTAAAATTTATTCCTGCTACGAAAAAAAACCTATTCTTTTTTTCTACATTTCACTCTGCCCCAATGGTGTTTTTTTAAAAAATAAATAAATATATTATCCCCAAAACCCTTGGCCTAAGTGTGTGTGTTTTCTGAAAATAAACCTACTATTAATCACTCTAGTGAATAACATTGTCTCCTTTCTTCTTCCCTTTGCCACCATTTAAGAAAAAGGTGATGAATGTGTAGAATTATACTACACTTAATGTCATAAGCATACTTAATCCTAAACGATTAAGAGTAAAAATTATAATACAGCTTTTGACATTCTAAATGGAAAGCAGGGTTAATGAAACCCTATTTTCTTTGGATTGGCTAGACAGGTCTGGAATAAAGAACCTGAAAAATCCCTTTCACCTACTTATTTTTTAGAAAAAGCCTAGGACATACAATTCAGCAAAGCCATAACAGATGCATCATGCTACCACAGTATAACTGAGTTGAAAAGAAAGGATTACGGTGTACAATATAACATTTATTGGATATAGTGCATCATAGACTCTGAAAGCTGGGCATTTAAAAGACCTATCCTCCCCCATTATTTTGTAAACATAATCTTGTAAACATAAGATCTCCTATTGTTTTCTAAATTCTCAGTTCCTCTTTCCTGCTCATATACCTACTTGCTACCAGTGACATCATTTGGTGACAACAGTGGTAGAATTCATCTTACACTTCCAATGCTTGTTCATATGCTGAACAGAATAATGTGTTTTGTATCCAGTAGTATTCTGCCAGTGCAAAGCCTGCACAGCAAGAGGCAGCCTTGTGCAACAACTGAAATGATTAATTTCCATTTGTGCCAGATGTTTCACAAATCCTAGTGCAGAACATGTATTTGTACACCTCATTTTTAAGCACTAGTTGCACTATTTGGTGTGCTAGCACTTGCATAACTTGTTAGCCCAAACTACTAGCAGATCACTCCATACACTAACACTTTTTACACCAATGTTGCCAGGCCCTCCAAGTGTCCCTGTTTTCCACAGATGCCCCTGATTTAGAGAAGCCGTCCCGGTTTCTGATTTGATCATGGATTGTCCTGTTTTTCTTTAGAGTGTCCCTAGTTTCATTGGAGATATGTTGGACAGTGTGGAGTTATCCAACCCCTGAGCCATCTGAAGGCAATCCTGTATAGGGAAGTTTATTAAATGTTTAATGTTTTATTATGTTTTATATATATGTTGAAAGCTGCCCAGAGTGCTGGGGCAAGCCAGTAAGATGTGGGGGGTATAAATACAGTGGTACCTCGGGTTAAGAACTTAATTCGTATTGGAGGTCCGTTCTTCATCTGAAACTGTTCTTAACCTGAAGCACCACTTTAGCTAATGGGGCCTCTGACTGCTGCCGCGCCATCACCGCACGATTTCTGTTCTCATCCTGAAGCAAAGTTCTTAACCCGGGGTACTATTTCTGGGTTAGCGGAGTCTGTAACCTGAAGCATATGTAACCCGAGGTACTACTGTAGTGAAATTATCCTTATGGAATGGGATGTCCCTATTTTCATAGGAGAAATGTTGGAGGGTATGTGTTACATTGGCTATCATGGCTTGAGTTGTGGGCAACAACTCTAGCATCTATTGAAAAATATACAATATGTGTGATATAATCATAGATCTGATAGCAGTGCTATCATGTTGAGGCCGGACGAGGTATCTTCCCCATCTGCTGGGTAGGAAAATTCCTGGATGCCCATGTAGAATTGAAAGGCCTTTTTTTCTTACCTTAAAAAAAAACACCACTCAGGGGAAGCAGTGAATCCTTTTCCTAGCTGCTGCTTCCAAGTATTACTAACTTTAAAGAAAAAGAAAAAGAAAAGAAACACATGCATAGTATCAGGGTGCAGCAGCTGTGAAAATGGTGGTTTTCATGTTAGGGATCATTAGGAAAAGGAAAATAAAACTACCAATATCATAATATTTTTATACAAATATATGGAATACTGTGTGTATATATGGTGTATTATTTCTGCTTGCTGCACCTCAGAAATCATGTCATTCTGGACTCCCTTTGGGAAAAGTATGAGATACACATTTAATAAATAAATTTAGCAATGAATATTAACATTATGTAGAGTTGGAAAAGGTTTAGAAAAAGGCAACCAAAATGATAAAGGGACTGAAGTGCATCCCCTAAAGGAAAAGTTACATTTTGGGTTTTCAGTTTGAAAAAAAAGTGGGGAACGGGACATAATAGAGGTATATAAAACCATGCATGGGGTTGAGAAAATGGGCAGAGGAAGGGGGGGAATCCCCAGAGGCGTAGGAAGGTCAGGTGGTACCTGGTGCGGAAAATTTGTCACCACCCCCCACATTGATTTATTTATTTATTTTGCCTGCAAAATTGGTTTTATGTTATTTCATATTTTCTTACAAAGGAATGTGGATTCTGAGCCTCTGATAACAAGTAGGCGACTATGGACAGATTTTTAAATCTACAGGATGGGTTGTGTTTTGGCTTGTGTTATTTTATTTATATTTATTGTTTATTTATTTAATAAAAATTGTTTTTAAAAACCTGCAAAGTGGTTTACCAAAACTAAAAAACTAAAAAACACCACAGCAGTAAAATCATGAAAAATTAACAATACTACCTTAAAACATACAAAAGCTAAAATATTAAAATTAAAATTACTTCAACTTCCTAAGCATCTAAGTATGCTTGCCTAAAGAAGAATGCTTTTAGCAGGTGCCCGAAAAGAGTCTAGCAAAGGCATTTGCTTTGTTGCAATAGGCGGGGAGTTCCAAAGTGCAGGTGCTGTTACAGTAAACAATGCAGTACAGATATTATGTGGAACCTGTAGTAGTGCTTGAAACTATTGAAGGGGAGGTTTTATTTATTGTGATTTCACCATGCTCTGTATTATCTGTAAAAGAAAACATTTATTTAAAAAACAGGACTGCAGAGCAGCAATCTAGTCTCATCATGATCACTGGGACTTATTCCCGAGCCCATAGTGCATAAGATGAGCTGCAATCCTATGCACCACTTGCATCCAAATTGTACCTAAAACTCTGCACAAACCTTCACCAGAGAATTGTAGAGTTGGAAGGGACCCCTGAGGGTCATCTAGCCAAACCCCTGGGGCAATGCAGGAATCCCTGACCAATGGCCATCCTTCTTCTTGTTTTTCCTCTTAGCCATGACACACAACGGTTAAAGACACAACAACGGAGACTGGAGGTGGGGGAGGGAAGCCCAGCGGAGGGTAGGGCAGTAGGGTGGTTCATAAAAAAACTTTTTTTAAAAAAAAAAGCCTGCTCCAAAGGTCTTATCTTACTAAACTAGGGATTACATAGCTATATCTTAAATTTCATGCATATCAGTTAATATCTTGACCCTGCTCCACTGAATTGAAATTTCAGCCTTCACGACATAGGAAAATGGCCAAGGAAACAGCTATTTTCGTGGAGGAGGGTCAAGATATTAACTGATATGCATGAAATTTCATATATAGCTATATAATCCCTAGTGTAGTAAGATAAGACTTTTGGAGCAGGCATTTTTTTAAAAAAAGGTTTTTTTATGAACCGCCCTAGTAGGGCAGTAATTGTTCCTTGATAATTTGTCACCCCCGTCCATGATGGCACCTGGGATGAGCTGCCCTCCCGCCCCCCTTCCTATACCCCTGGGAATCCCCCTTTCTCAAAATACTAGAACTGGGTTCATCCAGTGAAGCTGAATTTGGGGGGGAAGGAAGACAAAAGCAAGTACTATTTCACACAGCACAGTAGCAAATTTAATTATCTGCTATAAAAAATGCCACCAACTTGGATGGCTTTAGAAGGGGATTAGAGAAATCCCATGGCTACTAGTCATGATGGCTACATTACCTCAAGCACCAAAGGCAGTATGTGGAGAGGGCTATTGCACTCATGCTCGTGAGCTTCCCACTTGCCTCTTACTTGGTCTCTGTTGGAACAGGATGCTGGACTAGATAGGCCTTTACTTTAATCCAGCAGGGCTCTTATGTTCTCATAATTTTGCAGGTGCATGCCCTTCACACTTAATGGAGCATGCATGCATTGATTGTGGTATTTTGGTTGTTGTAAGCTGATCTGAGTAATGTAAATGCATTAGAAGGGGAAGATATAAATCTTTTAATAAGTAAATACCTTTTTTTACTCATATATGTAAAATGAGAGTTGGGTCGTTATGTGTTGCACCCCTGACCTTGGATACCAGTGGTCTGTCATTGGATTTTGATGTAAATCAATTGCTGTCACATTTTGCTTTAGTGGTCATACAGCAGTAACTAAATAAACTGAGTTTCTTGTGTTAAACAGGATCTGTGAGAATCACTCATAAAGAGACACACTTGCTTTTCTTTTGTGGATCCAAACAAATATTGTATTTACATTATGTTTTTAAATAAAAAAAACTTGAGGGATGTAATAAGAATTAACTTTCACACACACACACACACACACACACACACACAATATTTACAATATATTTGACGTGATATCACAGTGTAGCTTTTGCTGGTCACCAGCAAAAACACATTTCAAAACATTCAAAGGGTTTTTGAAGCTCATGTGTTTAAATCAAAAAGAATTAGTGATACCTTGGTTCTCAAACTTAATCCGTTCTGGAAATCCATTCCAAAACCAAAGCATTCCAAAACCAAGGTGCGCTTTCCCATAGAAAGTAATGCAAAATGGATTAATCTGTTCCAGACTTTTAAAAACAACCCCTAAAACAGCAATTTAACATGAATTTTACTATCTAATGAGACCATTGATCCATAAAATGAAAGCTTTAATCAATGTATTGTACTATAAAATAAATAAGAAAGTATTGTAGATGATAAAAATTTTAAATTAAATGTTTTCCCCTACCTGTAGTGATGATAGTCATTGTTTGGATGGCGGGCTTTTATCCATTTCCACAGTCACATAATCAGTCAATCAGTAGCTGAACTGGGTTCCACACAGGCACAAAAACAAATTAACCGAAAAAGCCTCAAAAACAAAAACGCAAAATAAATAGCAAAAACAAAAGCACCAAACTTAATATGTTCCGGAAGTCCATTTGACTTCCAGAATGTTCAAAAACCAAGGCACAGGTTCTGATTGGTGCAGGTGCCACGGAAACAACAGCCGACAGCTGCATCAGATGTTCAGCTTCCAAAAAACATTTGAAAACTGGAACACTTACTTCCGGGTTTTTGGCATTTGGGAACCAAGGTGTTTGAGAACCAAGGTACCACTGTACCTAGCTGATTTTCCAGCTGTCACAAAGGAGAAGTCAAGGCTGAGGAGCAGAAATATCTCAGCACTGAGATTCATTAGGTATATGATTTATTCTTCATGAGCTGGTTAGTAATAACTGTTGAAAGAGTCCCGGTTCAGGCCCTTTAACAGTGGCCTGTGTAGTTTTTCTTCCCTTCTTGAACATAGTTCATACTTACGTTTTCTTAATATGACCCCCAGTTTGGACTCACTTTACTGTTAATTGCTAAGATTTCTGAAGTATTTCCATTCTAATAAAAAAATGGATTATCGCACACCACCCCAATCTCCGAACAGTGCAAGATTCCAGGGGTCCCAGATACTTCTCCGGGGTTCATATTTCCTTTTGGAAATGAGGCACAGCAGAGACTGTGGTGTCTTTATGACATATGGTTCAATGACATATATGCAACCTGGGACTTTAATGGAAGGGTTCACAACATTAACACCCCAAATGGGGCCTTGTTTCTCCCATAGCCACAGCCTTGGATTCAATCTGAAATAAAACATTCCTCTGAAATGATCAAATTAAGGATTTGATGTGAGTCAAGTGTTGGCCTGATGGCAATTTGAGACAGGCCCATGCTTCTCCTAGTGGCTGTGACATCCACAACCAGCTCAACAATTATTCAATTGTTTCAGTTGCTTAGGGATAGCGAGATGGTGCTGCTACAGGGCAAAAACTACTCATAATTGTCACTGAATTGCAAACACTGAGTTGATGGTCAATAAGCAAGAACAGGAAAAATAGACGGGCCAGCTAGTGTATAAGAATATACCAATCTTAAAATAGTAAATTAGTTACTCAACCCATATTTTTATCTTAACATACTCTATACGGTAAAGGTAGCAATCAGTTTAAGTCAGAACACAAGCATTAGGCAGGCTATTTGTACAGCCAGAATTTTACAAAGTTCAAGAAGGCATCTTTTGAATGATGAAAAATGCATTAAGCAGGACTGGGATGACAATGAATCCATTTTTCTCTATTATACATGACATTGCATTCTAAAACATTAATGGTTATTTATTTTAACCATATTTAAATAAGTGTAAAAATAATTCTGAGAAGCATCCTTTACCAATTAGCCAACTGTAAATTTCCTCCCAAGTTACAAAGGGTCCAGTCGAATTTCCGCTGGTCATATTGTCCTGCTCATTTCTAGAACTCTATGGGGAAAAAACCCTGTATCATTACCAAATGAAAATAAAACAAAGCCTTATACCACAGGCCAGCACAGGACCAAGTGACACCAGCAAAGGGTTTAAATAAATATCTCTCCATGGATTAGACCAGTGAAGTGGCTGTACCCCAGCCCCATCATCCTTTATGGCATTCTACACTTTTATGAAAAACTTGGGTGGCTGCTAATAATATTAGTACACTTTCTTAATGGCCCCAAAAGATAGTGGCTTGAATCCAAACCAAATTAGTTGAGTGAGACAACTCAGTGCCACATTCCATATGATGTTAGTCACATGTGCTTAACCTGGCTGCTTTTACTTTGGAGAAAGAGCATTTAAGGGCCTTGATCCTGAATATACTCCTAGTCTGGATCAGAGCATGCTTACTGGTTTTCTGCTGAAAATGAACCCCGTGTTTGGCTGCTATTTGCCCTCCACCCCTCCAAAGCATAAGCTAGGAGAAAATGATTTCTCAGATCCAATCCAGATTGACAGCAATGTATCCTAGCAAGTTTTACTGAAAATCAAATACCTTGCCTCAAAATTCCTGTAGTGTGAGAAAACCACAACCCACAAAATACTGACATTTGATGGCAACTCTAACCTTACTCGTTTTTTCTCACATGTTTCTTAGACACTGAGCCTGTAGACACATTACTGGTTTAAAATGCAAATAGGTCACCCCCCCCAATTTGCATTGAAATTGGTTGGGGGCGGTGCATAGGAACACAGTATATTGTAAGAAACAAGGTAGATACAGGGTCGATATGAATTGTGGCTAACGTGTACAGCACTTACTAAACTAGTGGTGGGAGTGGTCTGGATGCAGGGCAAATAGGAGTGTCTACACAGCCTGAGATAAGAACCTTTAAGACAAAATCATTACTTTGAAACATTTACATAAATAACCATAGTGTATGTTACATTGTGGGGGGAAATGAAACAAAATTGGAAGAACAGGTGCAGAGGGAAAATGCAATTTAAATGCTGGCTTTTCATTTAACTGCAATAATAGATTCTGAAAACAAAGCTATTTTTGCGAAAATGCACAGAATGATAAAGCAAGCTGCAGTAGTAATGGTTATGCATCTTTTAATTATGGGGAATATCTACCACATTCATTTTATACTATTATCAGAGCATAATTTCCCTTCCTTTCAGCCTCAGAATTCCAAAAAACTTGCTTCCTCCTCCTATTAAATTATGCTATTTAAAGCACATTCTGTTATGTGTGAAGGGCTTTCAGTTTTAGCTTTCTAGATATTGTTGCCAGTTATTCAGAAGACAAATGCTATGGTATAAATACTTTGGTTTGGATCCAGACTTCTTTCCCACTGGTGAGAAAATCTATTGAAGAGAGAGATGGGTGTCGAATGTCAAAGGAGAATCTAAGAGTTCCCCCCTGCCCCCCAAGACTACACAGCAAATCCTTTAGGTGATGTGCAACCCCATCTATATATCATTAAGTTGTATTAGTATGTCTGTTCAAAAGAAGTCGGAAAGCTAGGCAAATGGCTAATCTGGTATCAACAATTTTAAGGCTTTCTAATTTCATGCTATAGTCTTGACACCAACCATGCAATATTTGTATCAGTAAATAAATTCAGTTTTTGCTTCCTTAGCTATGCTGCAAATTCCTTTTTATTTTCAGAAAGTTGGGAATGCTTAATGCTTTTGCTTGAGTAAAGATCAATATAATTCCATCACACTATGATCTTGCTATGTCAGAGAGGTTGAAGACTTGTGGTCAGTAGCACATTTAGTTATATTTCCCATTTCTAAAAATCAGGGTATTGAATATTTATTTCACAACATTTGTATACTGCTTGATTGCAATAGAACCTCAAAGAAGTTTACAAAAAGAATGAAACAAGAAAATTATCAGTAAAATATAAAAACAAGTATTTAAAACATTAAAAAATAAACAAGAAGCTAAATCCACATCAAAACATGTAATAATAATAATAATAATTTATTTCAACTCCTCCCTTCTGGCTGGGTTTCCCTAACCACTCTGAGCAGCTTTCAACAGAACATTAAAAACAAAATAAAACTTTAAACAACAAAACATTAAAAACTTCCCTAAACAGGGCTGCCTTAAGATGTCTTCTAAAAGTCGGATAGTTGTTTATTTCCTTGACATCTGATGGGAGCATCAGTTTCTACAAGCCTAGATAAAAAGGTAAAGGGACCCCTGACCATTAGGTCCAGTCGTGACCGACTCTGGGGTTGCAGCGCTCATCTCGCTTTATTGGCCGAGGGAGCCAGCATATAGCTTCCGGGTCATGTGGCCAGGATGACTAAGCCGCTTCTGGCGAACCAGTGTACGGAAGCGCCGTTTACCTTCCCGCCGGAGCGGTACCTATTTATCTACTTGCAGTCTGAGGTGCTTTCGAACTGCTAGGTGGGCAGGAGCAAGAACCGAGCAATGGGAGCTCACCCCGTCGCCGGGATTAGAACTGCCAACCTTCTGATCGGCAGGTCCTAGGCTCTGTGGTTTAACCCACAAAGCCACCCACGTCCCCAAGCCTAGATAGGCTTCGACAAATTTTTTTTTGAAAACATCCAGCAGGGGCTGAAAAGAGTATATTGAAGGTGCCTGTCTGATGTCAATAGGCAGGGAGTTCCTGAATATTGTTGCCATACCACTAAAACAATGATTTCTTGCACTATGAATTGGTTGATTAGTTGAGTTCTAAATTGTGTTCTAAATGTAAGCTCATTTATAAATGCAAAATGCTCTATATAAACTCTATATAGAGTTTATTTAAAACAACACTGTAGGAACATAAATCTGTTGGCAGGTCCAGATTGACTTTCTGTGGGTAGCAGAAGAATCTTACAAATGCAGTGGAATAATCTAGAGGAGATAAAGTTCAGTGTGTAGTTAAAATGTAATCAGGGCAACACAATGAGTGAATCGGAGGTCACGGTGAACGTAATCACCAATTTTTTTTTTTACAATGTCTATTAATTATGGATTGAATACTTGTTTCCTTCTATTTTTGATTTCCAATGACTATTTATGTTATTCAGTTTCTAAACCAATAATAAAAAAAAATGCAAAATGCAGTCCATACGATATGCAAAAGACCATTCAAATGCTCTTCAGCAGTAGTATATATGATTTCCCCCCCTGCATGTACCTAAACAAGCATTTGATATTATTTAAATTATTATTAAATTATTTAAATTTATTTCTTTGATGTTTGTTAGTTTATATATTCTGCCATGCTAAATTGCATCCTGCGCTAGAGGAATTGTTACTTAGTTTAAAGTAGACCCCCCCCCCCAAAAAAATCCAGAAATTTAATTTTTGATTGAAGGACCAAATCACCCAGAATACTCCTTAGTGATTGATAAACTCCCCTTCAGCTCACTTAGATTTTAGCCAATTTTAATTTCCTTATAAATGCCTGAAAAAACTGCTTGCATGTAACCATAAAAAAGCAGGAAGGGGGTGGATTAAGTACAACTCAGCCTTGCATCCTTTCCTTTTGGGAAAGGGATGAGAATTGCTGGCTGCAGGGATGGGTTTTTTGGGGTGGAGAGATGGGTCTTTGGGGACTCTCATAAAGGAGCATCGTTTTTTTGCCAGCAACAACAGTATTTGTGATTCCCTTAATCTTACAAATTGAATCAGAAAGCTAGTGAGAATGTGCTTCTTCTTGTTGCGCTGATCTGCCTTAAGAGCTGCAGAAAGGTTGTATTAATGAAACAAAGAAAAACTACAGAGTTGTTTATATCTGTACCTCATAATACCCAACACAGATATTTTCATAGTATCCCAAGCAGAGACATGGGTTACATCCAGAAGACGAAGAAGAAGAAGAAGAAGAAGAAGAAGAGGAGTTTGGATTTGATATCCCGCCTTTCACTCCCCTTCAGGAGTCTCAAAGCAGCTAACATTCTCCTTTCCCTTCCTCCTCCACAACAAACACTCTGTGAGGTGAGTGGGGCTGAGAGATTTCAAAGAAGTGTGACTGGCCCAAGGTCACCCAGCAGCTGCATGTGGAGGAGCGGAGACGCGAACCCGGTTCCCCAGATTACGAGACTACCGCTCTTAACCACTACACCACACTGGCTCTCTCCAGTCTTTTCCCACCTTGCTATTTGCTAGAGAAAGGGCAGGTGGTGATTTTCACCAAGTCTCCTCTCAGCATTTTGTGCCATCTTTCATGCTATTTCAGATGATCGCTACTTCACTGCAGCAGTTTTTCAGGGGGCACAGGGAGCTCAAGGTGGGGTGAAAAATCACCCTTTCGTCAGCACATAAGATGAAAGTTCTTATTTAAAGTCTGCATTCCAACTCATTTATGTCTTTAGTTATGACAATATCTGATGTCTCAAAGAAAGTGGAAACAGCCAATCTTTGTCCTCTCTAGGCCCTGAGACAGACAGGTACTCTAGCAGTTTAGATTTTCAAAGAATGGGATAACTTCCTGTTTGCTGACTCACTCAACAGATTCTATTTTAATTAAAAGGGCAGAACTTATGAAATCAGTGGCATTTTTACTTCCCAACAAAATATACAGCTTAAGGTTGCAATCCTATACACGTTTATTTGAAAGTAAATCCCCTTGGATTCAGTGGGGCTTACTACCAAGTAGACCTGTAAACCAGGTGTGGGGAACCTGGAGTCCTCCAGATGTTGGGGAGGCACAACTCCTATTTGGTCTATCCACCATACCCAATGGTCAGGGGCTATGGGAGTTGCCATCCAACACCATCTGGAGGATGACAGATTTTGTACTGCTGTTGTAAATCAGAGTGCATTTTAGGGACAAACAATGACAATGTAAGCTAATTTTACAGTAATAGCTTTGTTCAAAAGATGAAGACTGCAAACTCTCAGATGCAAGCTTCAGTAAATTATGTTGTTGCTGTTTTGGACATTATCTTTGGATCTTACATGGTATACATGTTACATTGTAGTTCTTAGCATGGTAGCACTTGGGAAGTAAGCTCCAGTGAAGTCAGTGTCCATGTAGATGCATTCAGGATAATGCTGTGCATATTATTCCCTGTGAATTTATTCCAGGCTCAGCACTCTCGCACACTGTGCAGTCTTGGGCTGTGTGATCATTTAAACAGATACATGTTATTAAGTATCTGTGCTCTCAAAAACCCAAGTCTACATTAACATTCAGTGTTGATTTTTCTGATAGAGCAGGAGTGAACAGACTTCATACTTGTGTGATTTTAGGGGTTTTTTCTGCTAGGGAGATGGTCTTTTACCAACTGGAAACAGCCATAAACAGGCATCCTGTGGGTTGAGCTAGTCCCATCTTTTTATTTTAAAGCTGCTATATACCACTAATCATTTACAATTTAAAACCAACAAGCAACCAAAAATTGCAGAAACATAATAAAAACACAATATACTGCAGCAAAATCCAAAACGTAAGAGTTATTCTGAATGCTGTCATGAGGTGGAGGGCAGGATTTGCCTAAACAAATATATCCACATCTACAGTTCAGCTGTAGAGCTACAAAAGGCCTGATACTACAAAATAACACATCAGGTCTTAGATCTTCCTGGAAACGACAGCCTCCAGTCCCAGGAGCTAGGTTTTGGGTTTTGTTTTTTTACTGCTGAGAGAATTAACTGTACAAATGCTTTTAAAAATCTGAGCTGAGAAAACTCCCCAGCTTCAGCAACACTTTAGTTGCTTCAGGAAAATGGGGTGAATGGCCCAACTTCACACACTCTTGCTCAATAGGTCTTTTGTGCAGTGGATGTTTCCTCAGTGCATTTTTCTGGTGCTTCCCCCAGGGACCTAGTCTTCTAATTCATTTGGGCACACTAGCAATCCATCTTTAGCATCCATAAGTGTAGAATTCCTTCCTCCACCTCACTGATCAATTTTCATACTGTATCTAACTCAAACTGATAAACAAATCATTCTCCTTTGTGAATTTTCAGAATGCTGCACACAAATACATAACCACACAATTCCCATTAACATTTATGGGAATCTAGAGTTGTCCTTTACAAAAACATACCAGAATACTACTTTTCAGCGCACTATGCATTCATTGTGCTTCCAGTGTTTCAGATAGTCTTCTGAATTATGAATATTCTCCAGTATAGAATATTCTGAGCAGAATTATTCACTATCATCAATTGCATAAAAGCATGTGAAATATGACAGTTTGCATCCCCAACAATCAGTCTCCCAAGGCAGAATTGCTCTCCAAACCTCTGTTCTTTACCAGCTGCTGCCACCTGTTTTCCAGAGAAGGCAGATTAGGACACTAATTCAAGAGGGAAATGGGGTCTCAGTATTCTAATTTGAAAATGACATAGAATTGTTTGTGAATTTAATGGGTATCCAAATTGGTAGGAAAATGTATCTTGCTTTGGAAGTGTTAATTTACAGTATAGGAGATAAATGATGATTAACACAGCGCTGTCACTGAAAACAGCAGCCATTGGATTGGCCAAGTTCTTCTTCTCCAACTTTGAAACATTTAGTAAAACTTTCCTATATCATTAGTACATAGGTTAGCTTCACAATAAACTATAGGTAGAATCCACTCACAGAAGGGCTTTTAATATGAGACAATCCACCAACATTCAGCTAATTAGGCCCCACTGCTTTCTGTGAGAAATTTAGTTAATTTCCCCATTAAAATCAATAGAATTTAAAGATGGCTGGATTGTGTTTATAAGCATTAATAGCCTTTCCTTTCCCTTTTTGCTGAGGAAGGAAATTGTAGGAACAAGTTTTGTTTCCAGAAAATTGCTACACTATCAGCTACCTTTAGCTATTTTCATTTTCATTCATAAAACAATATGGGCAACTTTGATTTATAAAATAGTTATATTTCTCCAAAATCCAGGCTGATTAAGCAAAACTATGGCCAAATAGAAATGCAATGGTTAGCTTTTCAGTGCGATTAACAGCAAAGTGAATTTCTTCTGCTCTCTAGTTAGCTCTTTCTATAACACAAAGGGGGAAATTACTAAATTCAGTAATAGTGATATGAAATATCTCCTCAAACAAGCATAGTTTTGCTAGGATTAGGATCTTTTCTTTCTATATTTTTCATACCTTTTTCCTTTCACTGTTCCTGTTGTTCAGGCAAACTTAATTTCCTGTTGGATATCTACAAATATGTACTTGCAGTATAAGTAGTTCTGGCATGATAACAGTGCAGATAATTTGTTAAATCACAATGATTTGTGTTAGGTTTGTTAAATCATATTTCTGTTTGGTTTTCAAATGTCCCCTCTTGCCTGTATTCTGATTACAGGTGAAAGCAAACCCATCCTCCCTCTTGTTGCCAAGGCACAGGGTAGTGAAAAAGCATATTCAGTCCTAAAGTTAGAAGGGAATACGGTGTGGAACAATAGCGCACACAAGAGATGGCCAGCACGGGTACCTTAGTTGTTGCTGGACTTGCTGGACTGCATTGTTCTTAGCCTGCATGGCCAGTGGTCTGGGATAATGGAAGTTATATTTCAATAACACCTGCAAGCACCACATTACCTAAGCACCACATTACCATTGCGTAAGCTGCAACTATCTTTTGGAATATGGGGATTGCAAATTTGAACCTACTGATGCAAGACATTTTCTCTGCTACTTTTTCTTCATTTAGTCTTGGTACATCAGCTATGCTGTATTTTTATCTACCATTCAAATACAGGATGACCAGATAGTTTGGTTGAATAATCAAAGTTTACTAAATGTACAGTAATGTTCTTTTCATATTTGTTTTTTTTTTAAAAAAAAATTCTTAGTGCAAAACTTTATAGTTCAAGCATGCTAGTTGCACTTTGCAGATCAAACCATGATGAGCATTTTTGTAGAGATCATGAAGAGTACTAAATGTTTGCTGGAAATAAAGCCGAGTAATCATGAATAATCGCAACTGTGAAGTTCAGAATTGAATTGTATTAACTTCTGGCTTGCTTGGTGTGTGTGTGTGTGTGTGTGTGTGTGTGTGTGTGTTTAAAGCAAGGAGCCTGTCAATGTATATAAACCACTTTGACAACCCTAGGTGCAGCATAAATAATGTCATCATGATTTGTGGTCTTATCATCAGCTAGAAGAGGTATGGAGGTTATTCATAGGTTGCTGTGGAGGCTATAAAGTGGTCACTATTAGTAAGAAAAATACACTTCCTATTATTACACATTACCCATAGAGCTCCTGCATACAGCAATGTTTGATGTGTTCACAGAATAATAGTTCTAAATTTCCAATTGGCAGCCAAGGGAATAATCGGAGGGGGGGATCTATATAAGAGAAATATTATTTTTAAAGCCAGATCTGAAAACAAATCACACTGGGATTTGAAATGAAATGAATAGTTGCTGCAGAAGAGTAGAATTCAATCGGGCCAGTTCATGAGGACTGTTCATTGGAATAGTGCCTACTTGGTTTCATATTATGCCTCTGATCTTTGACTGCACCTTCAATTTATTTCACAGCATGCTGAATTAGCTTCAGAACAGCTTTAAGTAAAAAGTGTCCTGTGCCATGTGTTGACCTTTGTCTTAAATATATAGTGTGAACATATTTTTTTTTGCTTCACAACATGATTGGGTCCACCCAGTTATTTCCTTTTGGGGCAGAGGGTGGTGATGATAATATTTACTTGATCATTAACTTAACTAGAAGATAAGGAAATAATAGTCATACTTACCCTGAGCTGGCAAAATACCATGTGCAGCCATTTCATATCCCCCCTCCCCGATTTGCATTTTCACACAAGGTATCTTCAATTGATTGGTTTCCCTGGCAACTGTTCCTTGCTTTGACTGCATAAGCACTCCGGTGTGCTGTGAAACAGATTACTGCTGAAATAGTGGAATTAGTCTGGTGTAATGGGATGTTGTTTGAGCTGTTTCAGAGTTCTTAATTCCATTATTCGTTGTGTTATTCCATTAATGCTGCATTATTGTCAAATAACAAGTAGATTTAGTCTAATCAAATTCTCTTTTAACAAGTTTCTTGTAAGCCTATGATAGGCATTCTTTTCATAGAAGGAAAGAAATCTCTAACCCAAACTTGAATAAAATATATCATTAGAAAGGATACAGAAGGAAACCTAATACTCTTTGAGCCAATTCACATGATAACATTTTTTTAAAATTTTGGTTAATACTATCAACAGAGTATTGCCTTATTCATCCCATATGTTTATCTCTTTGTGCATATTCTCATGTGTGCTTGCATATACTAGACTCTGTGTCAAACTATATTAATTGAAAAAACAATCCAATGCCATTTCAAATAAGCAGATGCTTTCAATTCCTACAACAGCCAAGGTCAAAACTGGTTAGAAAGGTAGGGCCACACAGAAATAGATTGGAATTATTGAAACAATATGCAAAATAATTCTACTACATGAACAGAATTGCTAGTTTTTAGTCTGTTCCAGTTTAGTCTAATCTAATGGGGATTAGTTATTTTCTGAAATCAAATAACTTCACAAGCAACATAAAATTGAGAGAAGAAAGGAAAGAAGCACATAAGGCAATTGCAGTATTTTGCCTTGAATTTATAACTTTACTGAAATCCCCAAAGTTCTAAAAGTTAAAATTGTAGAATAAAGAAATAATGCAGCATACATAAGGAACTGGGATTAAAATGGATCACACTGTTATCAAGTTTGGTGGTTATAACCCTGCCTGAATAAATGACCAAAGAGTCTGGCAGGGGTAGCCAGCCTATTGTCTGGCACAATTTTGCTTGTCCTTGAACCACACTCTAGTTAATTGTACCATTACTGCATTACCATGGACAGCAGGCCTACTTATGAGCTGTTACATCATATGATTATCACCCAACTGATGGTCCATAAATCACTGACCCCACTCTGCCAGCAGCAGGAGCATTGTTTGAGGATAGCCCAGGTGGCCAACTCCTAGGTATTTTGTACTGGGGCCCAGTCTTCCCCCTCCACACTTTAAAAAAGAAAGTTCTTTAACTACAGGGCAGGTGGCTGTAAAGTGCAGTGCTGCTGAGACTCCCCATCTCAGTTTATGGAGGGCCCAATCCACATGTAATGTGCTGGGCCCAGAAAATCCTGTTGGTACCCCATAAGGTAAAGGTAAAGGTACCCCTGACCATTAAGTCACGTCGCAAATGACTCTGGGGTTGCAGCTCTCATCTCGCTCTATAGGCCGAGGGAGCCGGCGTTTGTCCGTAGACAGCTTCCGGGTCATGTGGCCAGCATAACTAAGCCGCTTCTGGTGAACCAGAGCAGCGCACAGAAAGGCCGTTCACCTTCCCACCGGAGCGGTACCTATTTATCTACTTGCACTTGACGTGCTTTCGAACTGCTAGGTGGGCAGGAGCTGGGACTGAACAATGGGAGCTCACCCTGTCACGCGGATTCAAACTGCTGACCTTCTGATCTGCAAGACCTGGGCTTTGTGGTTTAGATCACAGCGCCACCCGTGTTCCCATAGCTTAGGGTAAACCCTGACAGCGAGAGACACAGGCTGTGTTTTTGCTTCTGAAAGTCAGCCTTTAATGTTCATCAATACATATGCAAATTTTATGCAAAAGTTTTTTCATGGTACTTAAGTCCTTTAAGTATCTAACAACACCACTGGGCAGCAGTCATCACCAATTATTGCAATCCCACATCTGACAAACCACTACTATGTACTAACAGAGGACCACATTACAGCTGCCATGGCCTAAGAACAAGGGTGACCACACTTGGGTCTCAGCAGCTGCCCAACATGGTTGAATCTCTCTTCTAGTAGGCCACTTCCCTTAGCAGTAAAGGTCCTAGGAAAGTTATTCCTAAAAAAAGTCAAGCCTTTGCATGTGTTCCAATCAAATGCCCCAGAGGCTTGAGCTTTTATGAGTATTCAGTAAAAGTGCCCAGAAATTCTCTTGTCAGAGTGTGGGGAGTACTCACTAATGTCTTTCTCCTTCTTCTCATACCCCAAGATAAATTTATGGGCAATGAGGAAGCAGTAGCTTGCGGGACGGAGCTGTTCATTCTTGCTCATCAGCATTTCATCAGGAGATAGGTTAACTTTGGCAAGTACCCCATCTCAAACGTCTTGCAACCTCTCTAGGAGCTCTTGGCGTATTGCCTGCATGCTCTGTTTGATGGTTACCTCCTGCAGTTAGCTAGCATGGAGAAAAAGAGGGTCAACAATCTTTTTGGACCTCAGGCAAATCCTTAGATTTCATGAGCCTCTGGTTAATGTGGCTCAAAACCTATGGTCACTGGTGCAAGGCAGAAAAACAATGTGCCTCTTCTTTCTGTCATAGGGCTGGGCTTTTTAAGCACATTCAATAGCATTATGAACTTCTCTCTTGAAAAAGAAATTTTGCTTTAAAATTATTTAGATGTTAAACCACAGGCATATCCTTTTAAATTAATAATGCAACTTTTATAAGTATCCCCAGACTTCTCATAAAGTAGGACTTAAGTGTATAACTCTTTATGGTCATTTGAATTTGGCCTGTTTATTTACCGCCATAATTTCCAGTACTTTAAAAGCTATCCATTTAGAGAAAGTGAGTGTAAATTATTCCTCTTTATTTCTCCAGTGAGAATCTAGCTATTCAGAATGCTCTTGGAGAAGGAAATCGCATGAATGGATGCTGATATCAAATATACCCTGCCTGTAAAAGCTAGCATGTCAATGAAGTGGCTTCTGGGGTAGCCTTATCATGAAGTGATGGTATGGAGAGATTTTGTCATGACAAGAAATTGAGCATGCAGTCTTTCTAAGCGTATTTTGAAGCAGAATAATCCCAAGAGGTGCAGTCCTGTTCAAAAGCACCCTGTCTTCATTGTGCCAAAATCCCAGTTTAGGGCTAAGTGCCCTCAAGGTTCATGAGTAGCGTCATAGCTGGTGGGAAAAATAAGGAGGAAAACATGTCTTTTTTTCAATGGACAGCATGTTGCATTGCACAGGCTGATACTTGGTATGCAGCATTCTATTTGGGACCTTGCGTTGGTGGCATTTGACACTTACAAAACACGGAGATACTCAACGGCAAAAAAAGTTGCATGCAGTTTATAGAACAGTTTAAATGCCAACATCAAAGAGATGCAAATTTGAGCAACTATTGAACTCTATAGCCTATGTGTTAGTCTTAAATCGGCAATACAGTAAGAAGAAGTAAATGGGAAAAACTAAGAGAAGAGCTATCAACCTTTGACTATGTTTTTTGACTAGTTATCTCTCAAATAATTACTTCTAGTGCTACTAATCAAGTTACTTCTACTGTGCTAGCTGGAGAAACGTTGTCCTATTGTATGATGGTGGAGGTGGGGCAGGTGTGCAGATAGGTAAAGAACCAGGTGAATGAGTATCTACTGAATAATTATTTACAAGGCTATATACATATATTCATATTCTTTTGCAGTCAACAGTTCATAGATAGACAGATGGTTAGATATAGTTAGAAAGCATAGTTGGAAATCCTCTTTTCAGTATGAGTGTATCATCAGTACACATCATGTGGGACTTTGAGTTCAATATGTCATTATAACCAGTTGGCTGCATGCCTGTAAAATATGAAAATGATTTACAAAACAGAGCAGAAACCATTTCATCTCCTGAATGCATTCCAAAATATAATTTGCCAGCAATTAAAATCCCAAGCAACGCAAACTGAATTACTTTTCCCCTTGAGGCTTTCAACACCATTTAATTTGTTCTTGTTTTATTCTTTAGCTTTTTACTTTTTGATAAGTCTCTTATGAGGAATGAAATACTAGCTTTTATTCTTCAAATGAGTAGCAAACGCACAAGCAAATTAGTAAATTCTGTTGGCTGAAATATCAGCCTCCTTGGCCCTTGTGTCAGACAATAAAATTGAATCTAGTTTGTACACCATGTCACTAGTGTAATGTTAAATAGTAACATTAATATCCACGTAATGGAAAGCATTTTTGCAGAAATCATCAGCACATGTGCATATTGAAACAGGTACTGTGTTGTGATAAAGTGGTACCTTTCGGTTGAAGTGTTATTTTTACAGCACTACCCTGTTCTGCCCCTGAAGGACCAGGTGCGCAGCCTGGGAGTCATTTTGGACTCACAGCTGTCCATGGAGGCGCAGGTCAATTCTGTATCCAGGGCAGCTGTCTACCAACTCCACCTGGTATGCAGGCTGAGACCCTACCTGCCCGCGGACTGTCTCGCCAGAGTGGTGCATGCTCTAGTTATCTCCCGCTTGGACTACTGCAATGCGCTCTACGTGGGGCTACCTTTGAAGGTGACTCGGAAACTACAACTAATCCAGAATGCGGCAGCTAGACTGGTGACTGGGGGCGGCCGCCGAGACCACATAACACCGGTCTTGAAAGACCTACATTGGCTCCCAGTACGTTTCCGAGCACAATTCAAAGTGCTGGTGTTGACCTTTAAAGCCCTAAACGGCCTCGGCCCAGTATACCTGAAGGAGCGTCTCCACCCCCATCCTTCTGCCCGGACGCTGAGGTCCAGCGCCAAGGGCCTTCTGGCGGTTCCCTCATTGCGAGAAGCAAAGCTACAGGGAACCAGGCAGAGGGCCTTCTCGGTAGTGGCGCCCGCCCTGTGGAACACCCTTCCATCAGATGTCAAAGCGATAAATAACTACCTGACATTTAGAAGACACCTTAAGGCAGCCCTGTTCAGGGAAGTTTTTAATCTGTGATATTTTACTGTATTTTTGGTTTCTATGGAAGCCACCCAGAGGGGCTGGGGAAACCCAGCCAGATGGCTGGGGTACAAATAATAAATTATTATTATTATTATTATTATTATTATTATTATTCAAGACTCACTGTATTCACTGAGGTTCAGTCACAGTTAAGTGCACCAGAGTTTGAGACCCCATGCACGCTTACCCTCCATAAGTCTAATTGAATGCATCTGGGCATGTTGCCAAAGAAAGATGCACAAAATTAGGTTGTACAATTTAAAGTTATCATGTTCTACTTTACTAGATTATTTTGCATATATATTTAAGTACTGGGATGAAGATGGTGGAAATGGAACTTGCAAGTTACCTAGCTCTCTCATCCCCATATATTGGTGAACATTAAAAGAAATAGGATTTGTTTTTATCTGTTAATATTGATGAACAAAATGCAATGTTTGATCTCTTTTTGATGGAGAACACTTTCTACTTCTACAAAGGATCAAAGCAGTATCCTCAAAACTTTAGACAGCAAGTCATTCCTTCATGGACACTTGTTCTGTATGCTACATTTACTATGCAGGATCACCATATTTGACGGAGGCTCACAAACAGGATCCTCTGTGTCAGATTTAGGGCGGTGCAGGTGGTTGCCTCGCAAAGGGTGCCAAGACAAGGAGGCACAAAATTTGGAAGATCCATAACTGAGAAGATCCATTTGGGGACACCAAATGGCCTCACACAGGGTGCCATATTACAAAAGATTTCCAAAGTCCGCCTCTTGGATCCTACATGCATATGAATCAAGTAGACCAGGCATAGGCAAACTTGGCCCTCCAGATATTTTGGGACTACAACTCCCACCATCCCTAGCTAACAGGACCAGTGGTCAGATGATGGGAGTTGTAGTCCCAAAACATCTGGAGGGCTGAGTTTGCCTATGCCTGAAGTAGACATTATGTGGAGAATGAGGAATTGCTGGCGGGTGTAGTGTCTCTCCCTTACACAAAGTGAATAGCCAAATAATAGTTCAATGTTCTCAAATAATCAAGGGCAAGCATATTCTAATAGAAATCGGCATAGGCATTGGATCTGATATTGTCTCTGTGACAGAAGCTTAGTTTTGTCTGACTCTCCATTAGATTACCTCTGGTGCTCCTTCAGCTTCAAGGTCAGCCCTACCATTAGGCAACATGCTAAAGAGTATTGGGGCAAAGAGGCAGCCATCCTTCCAAGTCTTCCCACCCCCAGCTATTTTCCTCCATTGGAAGACAAAGCTGTGCATGCAGTGCGAGCTTTACACCGGCCTGCTACCCTCTGGTGTGGTGTATGATGTGGGATAACAGCCAATCCAGTTACCTTCTGCATGTGCTATGAGGGAGGGGTTGCCATCTTGTCCATTGCCTCAGAGAGCAAGATGTCATCATAGGCCAGCCCTCTTCAACCAGGCTAGAACTTTGATCCAGAGGGCCCTTTTACCTATGCAGTCATGCCTGCATCCACATCAATTTTTTTTTTATAAAAAAACAACACAATAAAATCCATACACTATTACTGTTATCATTCAATCACTCTACAATGCACCCTGTTTTACATTTATGAAAGATTAAAAAACTGCTTGTGTTGCAGCACAGAGGAAAGGGAATTGCTGGTTGAGTGTCCCTTTACACCTTTTGGACTGGGATTAGTATCACTCTCCAAGACAATATCTGACCAAGTTGGGAGGAATGGTACAAGAGGAAATGCATAGCAGGGCTAAATCCAATCTGACAGGATGGGCCACTTTTTCTTGCTATGATGCTTTTAAAATGACAAGTATCCATCTCAAGAAAAATGTATCTATCTTTACCATAATAATTGATTCATCATAATCTTTGTAGCCATCACCATTAGTGATTTTTTTTGTCATTCACTTTTCCTTTTAAAAGCTAATTCATTATTTTCCTAGTAGAAAATAAAATAAAATCAGTCCAACCCCCCAGAATGTCATCTTTGTTCAGTGTTCTGTCTTTGTACCTAGTATTAACTTTGTATTAAGCATTTTTACTGTCATGATGAAAATAAAAGAGACAAGGAAAGATCCATTTTGCTTTTCTTTCTTTTAAAAACCTTGGCTGGAACAATGTATCCAGTTGTGTATGTTTATTCTCTTTGCCATGGGGTGGATTCTTCAAAAACATTTTTTTTTATTTGGCTACATATGCTCAGGACAAAATACACATGCATCCTGTCAATGTGAAATGTATATAACAAAATAGTTTGCTGAGTAGAAGCAGCAGTCCAGTGTTTTCCTGGGCACTCCTTCCTAATCCTGCATGTGTGCACCATTCACATTTGAAGGAGGACATGCATTTTATACTGGGGTGAATGTGTATCTAACCAGCAAATGAAAAGTGAGGTCCAAGTTCCTGTAGCTTTTGTAATTGTGTTCTGCACACCATGCAAACATCAGAACCTCTCCAATAAGCACATACACCTCCCCTGCACACAACAGCTGCTCCATTCATTTTTCTGGACTCTAATAATCCGTGTGTTAAATGCAATGTGCACATGTATCTGCTTCCTTTATAGAAAGGTAAAAGCCCTTGTGTTTGCATTGCGACTCCTGTGCCTATTAAAAACCATTACATTGGGTTGATTGATTTTATTGTGCTGTAAAGCTTCTGTTTGTTCCTCACAACAAAGAATCCAAGGAATTTCTCTCTCTCCCCCCCCCCCATGGCCCCTTTATCAGGAGATAATTTTAAGTTGTCAGGCATTTGCCAGTTGAATTATTCACTGTATTGCAGTTTTAACATCTTTAACTTTTGCCCATTAGCGATCATCTCTAGTCTAAAGCATGCTGCAAAACCTAATCCCTCAAGGTTAGATAAAAATATTTTTTCTTTTCATCTTCTTTCAGCTGGAGTTATAGAATAAATGGCAGCAATATCACACGGGACCTATGCACACAAACTGTCATTCTTACTCTTTACCTAGGGACAGCAATTGCTAGACTGAGCTTCTGTGCATGTTTATCTCCCCCCCCCCCCATCTTGTTGTTTTCCTGTATTTTAATTTCCAGTTCATTTTCCAATTAATTTTGGAAACATAGAATCCTACAGCAGATACAGAAATGTTCTGGAATATGATATTAGTGAACCAAGGTTTTCTGTTATGCATGGACATTCTTAAAACACAAGCAGACAAAAAAGGCTGAATTGAAGTTATGCCATTTTATTTTAGAGAGACTTGTATCAACCACATAGTGCTGTAAGGTACTTAATGTTGAGATAATCCCATTATCATGGTACCACTTTGTCAATTGATACTGCTTCAGAGGTCCCTGCTTCAGTTTGGGACACTTTGGAGAGATTCCCATTTAGCTCGGGCAAGCCACATTCACCAGAATCTTTTGTGTGCTCACACCCTAGTATACATCCACTACGCGAGCAGGAACTGAAAGGAAAAGAAGTCATATGTTGCTAATTCCATAATAGCTACAACTGAAGAGGTAGCAGGACCGGGTTCATGTGGTCCAGGAGCACAAATGTTTACCTACACAGAGGTCTCAAGCTAGTAATAGTACATCTGTCTAGACTTTTCTGTGTATAACTTCTGGCATCTCTTTTTAAAATCCAGCATATATAATGATACATGATACATGATCATTTAAGAAAGTCTGTAGTTCTGTCAAAGCATAATAGTCATTGCAAAGGCAAATATAATGGTGTGGATAAACTGGCCATAATATAACTATGCATATTTGTTACAGCACAAAAATGAGCCAGACTGAATGGGGAAACTAACATTCCAGATATATTTCAGTTTTAATTATTGTATTATTATTTATCAGAGGAGCACTCCTATGTCTCTCAAGGCAGATGGATGCCAGCGATAAAACATAATGTAACATTACAAATACAGCATACATCATATAAAAATAATTAACAAATCATCCGCAAAACAAATACAAATCTGTAAACCACTATTAACAAAAAAAGCATCTAAAAATAAGCCAAGCATGACAATTACACCAAAAGTCTTATCAAACAAATCATTAGGGCATTTATAATCTATAAAACAATATTAGCAAAATTAATAAAATGGCAACTAAAAAATATAAACTGAGCACTGTTAATACACACACTCTTTCCATGCCCCCATAACTCATAACTTTTCGCTCTGTTCAGTTCATTAAAATACACATAAACTACACATAATTCCCGTTTTTAAGCTAGCTCAGCCAGATGCAGTACTGGCCAGGGTTCTTGGGTAGTGGGCCTTGGAGGAGATGGTGGGACTCTCAGGCCTATCACCACTGATAAGGAACTTGCCCGCATTGCTCTCGATAATGAGGTAAATTCCCATGTGAAGTTTTAGACAAGCCTGTCTCTTTGGAGTGGTCAGTTGTGGTACACTCAGGGTGGAGACCAACCAGAAGGTCCAACAGTGACTGTACACTCAGGATGCTCTTGCTACATCATAGTCCATCCACTAGCAGCTGCTCCAGCAGCAGTGCATCATCTGTACTTGCTTTCTGTTTTACTTGGCCATGGATGTCCTGAGAATGTCACAGATGGTTTCCCGAGTGATAACTTCAGTCCTTGAGCAATACCATCATGTGGGAGGGGAAGTTATTGGGGGTTTTTAAAAAACGTGTTTTGTGTTGTCTCATTTTGTTTTTTTACGTTGTGAGCAGTATTGTGATCTTTGGATGAAAGGCCGTATATATATTTAATAAATAAAACCATGCACAGAATGCCTGTGTTCCCCTTAAGTAGGCAAAATGAGAGAATGTTGAAGCATTCCTTCCTGTACAGACAAACTGTGAGCGGTTGGTGCATGCTGTGGGTTGCACAGCGCAAGTGGTTCCGGTGAGCTGACAGTACAATATATGTGTCAATAAAAGAATGAGAGGAATGGGTAGCTTATACACATGCAAAGTGATACGCTGTGGATGGAGTCATAATGTGGAGAAGGGTGCAAGCCACATACTGTGATGAGTCCTATAAAAACAATTTTTATGTGCTGCTGAGGCAATACATTCTCACCAGTGTGGTCAGTGTTACTAGTATGACCCTCCTAAGTGGTACAAGGATTAATAGGGCTGCTAACAAATGCAGAGTATTTTGTAGTTGTTAGTTTATTTGTTTAAATCACACAATTGCTTTAAGAGCACTGAAGAAGCAATTTGTAATAAATTTTAAAACTCCTCATTAATCAGCATTTGAAAACCACCATTAAGAGACAGTTTTGACATTAACAAGTGCAAATAAACCACCTAGAGTGCAGTGGAGCTGCCAGTTAAACCACTAAATAAACAATAATTTAGATGAAATTTGTATTGTGTTTTTTTTAAGCGTGTATTCCTAAACTCACCATGGAAATAAGTCTGGAAATTCAATGAATTGTTATTCCAGGACTGCCAGTAGAATAAAACGTCTCAAGAGCTAGCTCATTAGTAATACGTTGATAACAAATGACATAGTTTATTTATACACAATACCTGTGCATTACCAAATTCCAGTGACAAAAAAAGAATGACAGCTCAATTTAAAACAAAATTGCTACAATTAATTAATCCATACAACAGTGCTTAAAATATGAGGATATTGGAATGAAATGTTGCAAAAATATCATTTAGCATTTTTATAAGTTGCGCAGAAAATCTGTTTTTATATACCTGATAGGCACTCACCTGTTGGATTGATAGAAGGTTCTTTTGTGTGAAAAGACAGGCAAAGAGCTTTTCTTTCCTGCAGAAACACTGAACCCTGCCACTGTATATTCATCTACACTCTGTCAATGTAGATCTTACTATTCCCTCAAGCATTCTGCATCTAAACAAAGGCTTCCATTATATCCAGCATCCTCTTCTTGACAAATTGTGCTCCATTTTCCATTGCAACAAAGTTTTTCTAGGCTCATTCAGTCTTTCAAACATCGTCAGACATGGATGGCACTGCAGTCACTTTGCTGCTGCCACCCCCCTCTCTCCTTGTCCTCTCATCTATTTTACTGGAGCATCTAGGCCTTTTGCTTTGTGCCCTGTGGTCACTTGCTAGATTCATCTGAATGTGATAGGGTGGTATATAAATGCTCTAGCTTATACTAGAGCATTTAAGGTGGTAGGTGGCCACTAGCTTGGCTCCTATTTAAGCGGCTCTGCTGCCTTTCCACCCCTAAACCAGCTATTAGGGGGCCCAGCTGGGAGGGTGGGATATGACAGCAGTGCTGGGTGAGGCCAGTGAGCCATCAGGCCTTTGGCCAGTGCCCATCCTGGCTGTCTATGGCCCAGGCTTGAGCACAAATACATAGCTCCTATGTAGCAGAAATGTAAGACTATAGAGCTATTATGCTGGAAATGCACCATACAAACTGTGCAGTGGCACACATTTGTATCCTACCTACGATGTCAAATTCACAGACACCATTTCTGGGAAAACAAGAGGAGAAGGGTGGGTGTACACCATGAATTGCAGGTGTCCACAAGTGCAAGAAGTCCATCAACAGAGGAAAGGATTAGGTTGTGCTGAGGAAGGATTTGCATAGATGACATCTGGCCACCTCCTATTACACCAGGCATAGGCAAACTCTGGCCCTCCAGATGTTTGGGACTACAATTCCCATCATCCCTAGCTAACAGGACCAGTGGTCAGGGATGATGGGAATTGTGGTCTCAAACATCTGGAGGGCCGGAGTTTGCTTATGCCTGCATCACACTATTTCCAACAGAACCTTTGCCCCACCCTCCTCTCCAGTCTGTGATTGGGTAAGGTAGAGATTGACTAGGTAGGTGTGGGAGCAGAGTGGCATAGTTTCATGCCACACAATTTGATATATGTGCTCTGTTCCCCTGCTGCAGCTTATACATGCCTGGGGTTGGGACATCACTGCTGCTACACAGGTTTGTCTTTATCCATCCTCTCTTGGTGCCTCGGAACTTTTAAAAGGACAAGAACCAACTCTGGGTGAAGACCTGGCAGCCCTACTGCTGTGCCACAATGTAGAATATACAGTCACCAGGAACCTCTGAGAAAACAGCATCCGTGCACTGGTAATGAACTACACAGGACATGGGGAAGGGTGGGTTGGGAACACTGGGCAGAATCAAATACAAAGCTATAAGGAGATACTTTGTATTGCCTTAGATAATTTGTCCATCTGGTTCTTTACTGGCTGGCTGAAGATCAAAATGTCTCAGCGGGCATGCACTGTGCTTTTATGTGTGAACTGGACAACTGGTGCTTGAAATTTTGCATCTTGAAGTCTGTGCCTTTTTGAAATGAACCCAAGAATGTTTCATAGGTTATACAATTCCCTAAAGGATGCTCAAACTAAAAGCAATGCAGATTTCACTCCCACAGGTCACTTTTAATTTGGATGCATCAGTGAACACAGCTGCCATAATTAGAGTCAAATTTCTGATCTGCTCCAGTACATGGTACCAGTGTGCAGGATGTATAAACATAGCTGGCAGGCTGGCAGGTTCCATTACATAATGAACCATATATCGCCTAAGGCATGTAACAAGGATGCTGCTGACCCTGCACTGGAAAATTAACAACCAAATTACTTAAATATATTTCTTTTGCTAGTAGACTCACTGCATCTAACAGTTGTAAGTATATAGCCTGCTTCCCCTACCTTGACCTACAAACTGACCTTGGTGATCAATTGAGGTACTGTTATTTTAATATGTGTGATATATATCCTATCAGTCTGTATCACTAGAAAATAGTCTTTGATTGTAAAGATACTGTACTACCAAGATTAGAGTGTGGTTTCAAACTGCTACATAATCATTGTTCAACTTTGCCCATGCAAAGTGCTTCACAATCCGTTCTTCAAGGCAGGCTACTAAGAACCACCTCAGAGCTTATGCATTAGGTCACCCTCTGGGATGATCTCACACATAATTTTGGTAAAAGTGTAATGTTTGAAACATCTTTTGTTATAGCCACTTTACAAAGGAGAAACAGAGTATGAGAGAAAGCAACACATATTGAGTCCAGCAGTGAATCTGTGGTAGAACTTGCAAGTCTAAGTCATTATCTACAGCAGCATTTGGGATATTGTCTGTATCTTTGAAAGCACAAGCATGTTCTGATCCAGCCAGTAACTGCAGGCAGAGAAGGGGGGGAAAGCAATATTCAATGTGCACACAGAAGTCACTTATCCACAAAGACTTGTCCTATAACAGAAAACAGGGGAGGGGATATCTCTTTACATGCTCAGAAATGCCCTCTCTACCATGAAAATGGGTTGCCGTCATGTGAAGAAGCACTGTGTGCTCATTAAAGCACAAACAGGAGTTGAGGTATCAGCTGAAGGCATCCAGAAGGGTGGAAAGTGTGTTGTAATAGAAGGCCATCATCATCATTACTTTTATTATTATTTAGGATTAGTGTGTGTGTTTTTTACCAGAATGTACCACAATAAATTATATTCTTAGTTTCTTTTTTTTTTACCTTTTGGTTTTGTTTGGTTTTGTTTTATTAAAGATTTTCTTGTTTTACAGAAGTATGTGTAATGTCTCTCATATTTTTTCCATGTAACAGTTTCATTTATGTACTTACAAGCATTACAGATATTTGTTTGGATAACAGTTGTCATCCCCCTCACTCCATTGTATATATCGCCATTTAAATAAATATTTTCATTAAATTCATATCAGTTACTTGCATCATGTACTTGTTTTCACAATAATCCTATATTTTCTTTTTCTTTGTACCTACATAATTGGGGAAGCTTTTCTTGCCAAAATATATAAGCATGTCTTTCTGTAGTGTTCTTCATAGCTGTATTACTATCAAAAGTGGACTTCAGTTCCTGTCCTTTGAATCCATAGACTGTGTGGGTTCATCCACATTTACCTCCACCGCCCCCAACACTTCTGTGCCCAGGTCTTAATTTTAAAGTGCCGTGTCTGAGCACATGTTTTTTTTGCCCCACCACTTTCCCCAGGAAAACCCACTCTTTAACACTGAATCAGGGAAAAACAGCAATTCATTTTTTTCACAGATTGCGGGAAAAGGTGACAGCAAGCTATGAGAATAGCTGAATACATCTAATTCTTTTTTTGCTGTTTTGGCAGACCAGCTTCATCCTTAGAGTAAGGGTGTTAATTAGACTGCAATCCCATCCCCACTTCCCCCTGGAGTGAGCCTCATCAAAGGGTGGGCTATCACATAGAGGAACCTAGGGAACGAGTCCATATGCTTGCTGGTTTCCCCTTAGAATATTTTGATTCTGTTGAGATGCAAAAGCAGCAAAATACTCTGAGATACTCCTACAATTAACAACAACAAAATTATTAATTTGTAGAACTGTCTGGACAAAATAATTTATACTTTCTTTACACCAAGCACTTAGGTAAGGGTACCCCTGACCGTTAGGTCCCGTCGCAGATGACTCTGGGGTTGCACACTCATCTCGCTCTATAGGCCAAGGGAGCCGGCATTTGTTCGCAGACAGCTGCCGGGTCATGTGGCCAGCATGACTAAGCTGCTTCTGGCGAACCAGAGCAACGCACAGAAAAGCCATTTACCTTCCTGCCGGAGTGGTACCTATTTATCTACTTGCACTTTGACATGTTTTCGAACTGCTAAGTGGGCAGGAGCTGGAACCGAACAATGGGAGCTCACCCCGTCGCGGGGATTCGAACCACCAACCTTCTGATCGGCCAGCCCTAGGTTCTGCGGTTTAGACACCAAGCACTTAGTTTGGCTCATATTATGGTGTTGCAATACCTTCATTGTTACTGACAGTACATGTTCATTTCCCTCCTCTCTTTGGCCAAATATTTATTGAGCTTCAAATACCTGAAAGACCTTAGAAATCATAGCAGGACAGTAAGCAGTGTTTATATATTTTTTAAAAAATTGTTTCCATGGTACACAGATCTTACATTTCCATGTAGAATTCATTGTTCAAAAAAGTACAAGTAACTAGTTATTCATCTACAAAAAAATATTATGAGTGATGCAATATGAGAGGCAGACCACAGAGGGACAGCTTGAAAGTGTGTGGTGAGGGTGGTAGGGAGCAACAGGATCAGCTGCAGGGGCAAGAGGGAAGGAAAAGGGCTAGTAAATATGTGTAGTGATCTCTGTGCGTGCACAGAACTGAAGCTATACATAAATCGATTGTCTATTTATTTATTTACAAAATTCCCCAATAATCTCCATAGTACACAAAGCAAAAAATAAGCATTCAGTGAAATGAACAGAATCAAACATAAAGCACTAAAAAGAAATAAGTATTATAAGCAGCAAAAATTTAACTAGCTGGTAGAAAAGATGATGAAGGCTGCAATCCTAATGTGAAGCTTGATGAATTACAAAGGCAATTTAACTTCCTCATTCAGAGCCCTGCTGACAAGGTGAAACTGAAGGCACAGAAATGGTCTTCATTCCTCCCTCCATTTCTGGCTTGGCCATTTGCCCTCCCATTGGAAACAATGGAAGGAAAAATGAGGAAGAGTTTTAGATACATTTAAAAGTATGCCTAAATTTTCTCCAAGTTTAGGTGTGTGTCCCAGGGAACTGGAAGGCCTGGAAATCCTTTGGACCACAACTGCTCCCCAACATGCCCCCTTTTTTGGCCCTTCTGCTGCCAGGGATCCATTAGTTGGGCCAGAGATTCAAAGAGGCAAGTGGTGTCAGAAAGGACTTCTGTCTCTAATGTCAGAGAGGCCTATCTGATATATCCTATGGCCACTGGAAAAGACTCTTCTGATCCTACCTCTTAAAGAGATGGTGCAGTGAGCATAGCCTTCCCACAAATGTCAAAGAACAGGACGATTTATCTTACTGATGGGATAATCAGCATCCCCCAAGAGTGCTTGCAATTATCTTCTTGAGCACTTTGCAGCTTGGGTTTCTTGCAATGATGAGTCATCAGGTAGCCCAAGCCTGTGAAATGAAAAAACACCAGACCTAGAATGGAACCTCTCACTTAATGTAAATTTTCATGCTTTTGCAGATGCAAACCTTTACATAATTTTTAGCATCAATATGCACAGACATTTTTCTTAAGCTTCATATAATGTTCTTGAGCTTCTCATATAAGATGAGGTTGCAACCGCACACAAAAATTCTAGAGATTTGTTTTATTTTAACAAAACCATAAAGACTTTCTGAGGGATCGGACACAAACAGTGAGGATTGGGCCTGTTACATCTACCTCCCTGAAGCTCAGCACTGGCACCCCACAGGGATGTGTGCTGAGTCCCTACCTGTACTTGTTGTATACATATGACTGTATTTCATCTGATCCATCCACCGCAATTATTAAGTTTGCAGATGATACTACCAAAATGGGTCTAATTATAGGTGGAGATGAATCAGTGTACGGGGGGAGGTTCAAAAAGTATTGACATGGTGCCAAGAGAATAACTTACACCTAAATATTAGCAAGACAAAGGAGATGGTGTTGGACTTTTGGAGGAAGAGAGGGGAACTAGCCCCGTTGTATATCAGGGGGGCGGGGAGGGTTGTGTGGAGAGAGTCTCTTCCTTTAAATTCCTGGGAGTTTACCTTAGTGAAGACCTCACTTGAAAAAACAATATAACTCAGGTGGTTAGGAAGGCCCAACAGAGACTCCATTTCCTCAGGGTCTTGTGAAAGAACAATGTTAAACAACAACTGATGACCTCCTTCTACCGGTCCACAATACAAAGTGTCCTCTCATATTGTATCAAAGTGTGGTACGTTAGTTTGACAGCCACGGACAGAGTCTTTACAGAGGGTGGTGAACACAGCACTGTTCCCTGAGCCCACTAGATGGCATCACAAGGATCATTGCCTTAGGAGAGCGAGAAAAATTAGGAGGGACGATTCACACCCTGGCCAGGACCTCTTTAATCTTCTACCCTCAGGCAAGAGATATAGAAGTATAATCAGTTGTAGCAACATGCTAAAAAACAGTTTCTATCCGTGGGCTGCTGGCTGCTGAACAGAAAATAATATAGTGCAACTGACTTTCAGGGTTGGTGTGTTGTGCGACAAGCACACAGAGTGCAATGCGATTGAGTGTATGTGGGGGGGGGGGGAGGCTCGGTTAATTTCATTGTACATTGGCAATAAAGGTATTATTGTTATTATAATAAATTTGGTAGGACCATTTTCAAGTTTGATATACTGGGTGGCACATGTCCAAAATATTTCACATCTTTTGTTATCTTCTCTCATAATTTGCATTTGGACTTTAGTATCTCTTAGATTAGTTTCAGTAGAATGGAATTCTCAGTATGTTAATGACTGTTGTACAACTTGCAGAATGGAATATCTTGTGGAGTAACAAATATTACTGATATTGAAATTCAAGGGCTGCTGTACTAATAACTAACCAAGTTAACATTAATGCAGATAGGGAACTCTTCTTCATCGCAAGGGCTGCATTCTCTTGTGGGCAATCTTCTGTGGGCTGCAGGTGTGCCAATTCTAGGGGGCAGAGGCGTCATCAGCCCCCTCAATATTCCTAACAGGGACTCAGCTCCTCTATTACTGAGGGGACGGAGAAGGCCAAACACAGTGCAGCATCAAAGGCATGCTCCTCCTGAGCATGAGAGAGAAGAAGCAGTGGCCACTGAAGCTGTGCACACAACATGCCACTGTGCCCCCCCAATCTTTGGCCCAAGTCAGCACCCCTAGTGGGCTGCATGCCAGAGCTGGCTGAGTACCAAGCTGAAAAGTGGACAAAGCAATGGATGTGACTGTTAACTTTTGTTTAGTCCTCTTCATTCCAATCATGCAAAAGCCAGATGTTTCTACACCTCTGCACACCTTTACACACTATTATTTATTTATATGCCATATAAGTTACTGAAGTGTTAACTGCTTAGTAATTTGCTTTTTAATTTGATATAGTAAATATTTCAGGTTTCCATATTTTGCTTTATTATTTTATTGCTGTTGCAGACTGATCTGAGTGACATTTTATTGAGCATATGTAATGTATAAATTCTAAATGTGGTTTCAATGATTTTGCACTCGTTCTTTTAGGTTGGACCTAATTGCTTTAGTCAAGCTGTGTTAGCAGGTCCAAATAAGAAAAAAAAGGGGGAAAGGTGATATTCCATAGCTATGTTCCAAGGGTATCCTTTGTATTTTCCATTGAGAGTGCCAATACTGTCCCCTGAGATGCAAAGTGACAGGGCTCCAGCTGTGTTACTTGGCTGTGAGTTCTGTTAAAATTGCATGTAAATGCTTTGACCCTTCAGCTTGTAATATGCCAAGTCAAGCTGCGATTTTTAGTACAGGATATTTCCTAGTATAAGACCGGCATTTCTTCTTGTTTAATGAAATTGCTGTGTCTTAAACTATTTTAATAAACCTCAAGGGCTTCATGGTTGGATATTGTGTGCAATCATGTGTCAACCGACGCAGAATTGGAAAGCTGTAATAATTTTTTTTCTCTAAACAGTAAAAAAATTTAAGTGGTAGCACTAGGTTACAGTTCAAAGAGAAATGGTTGAATCTGATGTTGCTGTACAGTGGTACCTTGGGTTAAGTACTTAATTCGTTCCAGAGGTCCGTACTTAACCTGAAACTGTTCTTAACCTGAAGACCACTTTAGCTAATGGAGCCTCCTGCTGCTGCCGCGCCGCCGGAGCACAATTTCTGTTCTCATCCTGAAGCCAAGTTCTTAACCTGAAGCACTATTTCTGGGTTAGCGGAGTCTGTAACCTGAAGCGTATGTAACCTGAAGCATATGTAACCCAAGGTACCACTGTACGTTACATATATATTATTATGATAACCCAGTGCATTTTGAACAATGGTATTCTCTGAAAAATGTCTTTGTATCATGATGGACAGACCAGATTCCTATTTTATGTATGGCTTCTATCTTACCGGTATCTCATGAGTACTACTCAAAATGCATTAAATAAAGCATAAACACAACTTCAGATTCTATGCCCGTTTCTCAAAACTCAATATCCCCATTGGATTATGATTTGCAATGTTGACATCTTTTATTTCACTGTGAGTATACACAAACCCCTTCGTTTATTTCAGTTTGCCCAATTTAGAAGTGTCCCAAGCAAAGCCTAAAACTGGCATTCAAAAGCAATGATTTTTGGAATAGTAGAAAGTGCCTGGATGGGGAGTCCTCATGGGCAGGTAGTTTCCCTTTCCTGGTATAAATGTTGAATAAATGCATTTGTTTAAAAAAATATATTTTAAGGCAAATGTTTCCCACTGACAGAGACAAATGGAATATCAACCATAGATCCAGTAACAGTAAAAGAGGGAGAATATCATTTTATTGCCAAACAAGTTCTCCCTATGAAAGGGTACCAGATTGTGTGCAAAACACTATCTGATTTTCTAAGATCCAAACAAAGCCAATATATTACAAAGTTGTCACTGTTATATTACAGATAACAGATTTTCTCACACTTATTCTGTGTTGAGATTCCTGCCGAAATATCAGCATGAAGCTCTTCCCTGAGGAATGCATGCAATAGGCAATATAATATATATAATGAGTGCTACAGATTGATAGCCGCAAGTAGTTTGAAAACAGAAGACAATGAATTCTTTCCTTCAAGCATAGAATGCTAAATCAGGCAGATATGGCTTTAGAATATGATTACTTTTTAAACTGCTGATGGAATCACATATTTTGAATTTATACCTTATCTCTTTCTACTTGTCTGCTTTTTTAACCCTACTTTTAATTTTATTCCTGGGTAGATTTACAGGAAAAGCTTTCAAACACCAAGCCATAATTAGCCAGTAAAGGTTCAGGTTACATAGCCCTGCCATATACATTATTGGTGATTTGTTCCATGCAGCATTTCTTGGGCAATTGTTTTCCCATTTCCTATAGCTTGTGCTAATATAAAAGCAATACACTGTGTGTTTAAATCTTAGCTGTATGCCTAGTGTTCTGTGGGACTTCCTTCCAGAGGTTCTGTGGGACTTCCTTCCTTCCAAAGTTGCATAGGGCTGCAGCCTAAATCTTATTGATGTTAATGTAATTAGGCAGCAATCCTATACCCAATTACCTGGGAGTAAGTGTAACTGAACTCAGTGGAACTTGCATATGTATGTGTAAATATGCAGATTAGTTTCCTAACCAAACAGAATGATTTGGAGTCGCTGTTTTTTTAACAGCAACTCCCTATTATAGATGGAAGTCTTTACTAATAAATATGTTGATGACAGAACACATAGAACTGCTTCCTTTGTAGGCAGTTTTCATTATTCTTGTTGTTGATGATTACAACAATGCATGTGCTGCGCATCTAAATTTTTACAGAATGTGGGTTGATGGCATTTGGAATGGTCACGGCTGGAGAGGGAAGGGTCAGTACTCTCATGTGCTGTGATGATGTCCTTGCTGAAAAAGCTTCTATGCTACTATTAGGGTTGAAAAAGGCCTTGTAGTGTGTGTGTGTGTGTGTGTGTGTGTGTGAGAGAGAGAGAGAGAGAGAGAGAGAGAGGTGTTGTGTAAATGAATGTGATATGTGGATGTTTGCACACACACACACACACACACACAAATGGGGGGGGGGAGAGGAGAGACTATGAGATGGCTCTACTCACTACCAGATCTGGCAATGACCACTTTTGCCACCTTCATTTTTGCTACGTTCATTGCTGACATATGTGACTGCTGGAAGGGTCGCCACAAGAAAATGAAGCCCTTGGACTTAAAAAGGAATGGATGATTAATTGTGTCATAGGCCCAGGTAAGGAATCCTCTAAAGCAGAATCCTTAGGACAGCAGTCTCAAGGAAGTTGTGATTTCACTCCCTGGTCCATCTTCAAAATCTGAGCTCTTTATGTCTGATGTTTATATTTATTATATATAAACAGGCTTCATCACTTTTTTATGGGTTGAAAATATCTCCACCTTGTATTTTAATATTGTGTTTTATTCTCTTATTTCTTGTGAGCTGCCTAGAGAACATTAGTTTGGGTAGCCTATATAAATAAATGCACTAAATATACAAGGTGTGCCTGGAAAGTTTATTGAATGGTCACAGAAATTGGACAGCGAGAAATATGCAAACATACATACCTTAAAGACCTTCAAAATAGGCCCCCGCTGATACAATGCACCATTGACAATGTTTGTAGAACTGTTGGAAACATCTGGAGAAGTCCTCTTTTTGTACTGCTTTTGGTTCCCTCGTCACAGCAGCAGTGTGAAATGTTGGAAAATCTGTGCCCTTTCAATGCAGATTTCAGTTTTGGAAAAAGAAAGAAATCCAGTGGGGCCAGATCAGGAGAATATGGAGGGTGGGACAACTCAGTAACCTCAGTAATGATTTCACGTGGAATATGCAATTCTTCCGCCATCATTCAGATGGACGAATGCTGATCCTGCATCAATAACTCACAAACTCTGTCAACATTTGCCTCTATTCTGCTTGTCGACGGTCTGCCAGACTGAGGGTCATCTTCGACGATTTGCCGCCCTTCATGGAAATGCTTAAACCACTCACACACCGTCTTTCAAGTTAAAGCTTCATCTCTGTACACAATTGTGAGCATTTCATGGGTTTCTGATGCCAATTGTATTTTCGACCATTTCTCGCTGTCCGATTTCTGTGACCATTCACCAAACTTTCTGGTCATAAATAAATTCTATGGCTGAGAACACATACGACCCCAAGTTTGCAGCCCCATTGGGGGTGAACCTGGGCAATATTTTTCCAAGGTTTGAGGGAATAGTCAGTGTGGGGTAGGGCTACTCATCTTTAACAGAGGCAGTGGGATGTTTCTGTTGTTTTTTTATCCTTCTTTGCCAGTGTTCATGAAACAGCAGCAAGAGCTCTCTTCAGTGGCACATGCACCACCATTTTCTTTCTCCCAGAGTGTCCAGGCACAACAAAGTTCCTGTTTGCTGTGAAGAAGAAAAAATCATGTCTTGCCACAAAAAAGATGACTGCTGTAATACTTTTGTCAATACAACACACCGACTGGAACAACATTGTTTTTGGCAGCTCTCAGGAAAATAAGACAACGATGCAATAACTCCTGAAGAAAGAGTGCCATTATTGCTGATCTCATCACTGCTGCTACTGAGTTAAAATAAGTTCTAAAAAGGAGGAACCCCTGTGCCATTCCTAAAAGTCACCCCCTGGGCTTCACCACCCCACCAGGAGGATAACAAAAACGACTATTTCAGTGATCCGAACAGATGCTTCTGCAGGGCTGTCTTAAGCATATGCGGAGCTGGGGTCCAATGATCCGCACTGCGCCCCACCCCACCCTGGCTGCCAGTCCCAGGCACACAGGAGGGTGGAGCCAGCCAGCCGCCTCAGCGTCTCGCTGGCTCAGTCGCCCCCAAACTCATGGTGCAGAGCCACCTGCAGCAGAAGAGCCTGCCACAGCTCTCCTACTGACGGGCGTGCTCTTCCCTGGACTCATCTCTCGGGCCCCGGACTCTTGGCCTGGTGCCCCTGCCCTGAGAGCCCGGTGCCCAGGTGCCCCTCACCCCTAGTGCCTATGGGTAAGACAGCCCTGTGCTTCTGCAAAGCCCCCTAAATTTAGACACCTTCATTTCAGCCATGTTCATTATTCTTGTTCTATTTCAACAAGATATCAAACTATGGGAAAGCTGGGAGGCTAGGCTACTCTATTGGAAGACTGAACTAATTTGAAGTCAGAGTTAGTGCAGAATTAAGTAGCTTCTATAAATAAAGCGTAACGAAGATACTGAATTTCATTTTGAAAATAAGTAGCGGCTGTATCTTTCACAAAGTTCACATTAAGCCATGGCATAGCTTAGGTAAAGGTAAAGGTACCCCTGCCCGTACGGGCCAGTCTTGCCAGACTCTAGGGTTGTGCGCTCATCTCACTCTATAGGCCGGGAGCCAGCGCTGTCCGCAGACACTTCCGGGTCACGTGGCCAGCGTGACAAGCTGCATCTGGCGAGCCAGCTCAGCACACGGAACGCATATCTTGCGTGACCCAACACATCTCTTGGGTCCATTCCTGAGAAGTCATTGTGAGGGAAGGCACAAGGCAACAAGCAGTTGTTTGAGAGGCAAAATGAAGTTGTTATCATCTTCTCGGATAAAACCTGTCAGGCCTTTTCTACTGAAAAGAGTTGCACTCTTGTACACTAAGTCATGTGAAACCTTCCTCTCTGCAATCATCCAGGTATTTTGTACTAAGCTACCCATAGGCAGAACCTAGATTGCTTCTACGTTTTGACTGAATTTTTGCTCTGTTCTTTGACATTAGAAAGAAGGTGTGAGAGCTTATGTGATTTTATATTTTATGTAAACTGCTTACAGGTTTTTATGATTAAGTGATATACAAATCTTATTAATTTTTTTAAAAAACCAACTGATTATACACTTGTCATAAATAACTCAGTAATATCCAGTAGTGGCTGGCCGAGCTGCATGGGTGCTGATGTTTTGCTCTCCTCTCTTCCCAGTGCCTCCCAATGCTGTTGCTTACTGAGGCGGGGATGGGGAAGGCAGCAGGAACTCAGTGCATGCAAAGCAGTGGAACCAAACGAAGCTCCCACTGCCTTTTCCTTCCTCCTCTCAGTAAACAGCAACATTGTGAGACATCTGGCACATAAGAACAACACCTAACAGAAACAGAAAGAGATGAGAAATAGGGTGAGAAACGTACTGAAGACCCAGGAATAAAGAGGAGCAAAATGAAGAATACAGTGGTACCTTGGGTTAAGTACTTAATTCGTTCTGGAGGTGCGTTCTTAACCTGAAATTGTTCTTAACCTGAAGCACCACTTTAGCTAATGGGGCCTCCTACTGCTGCCGCGCCGCTGGAGCACGATTTCTGTTCTCATCCTGAAGCAAAGTTCTTAACCTGAAGCACTATTTCTGGGTTAGCGGAGTCTGTAACCTGAAGCTTATGTAACCCAAGGTACCACTCTATTATAAACAGAAACATTAAGATTGATACTTAGTTATAATGTTTATGATAGAAAAGCAGAGTCACTGGGTGAGCTATAGAAGAGAAGATTAAATAGGAGTTTGTATACAATGGACTTGTGTACAATAAAAAAAAGTGAGGGAGAAGCCGAGATAATGAAAATAATAGACAATACTGGGTTGTGCTTCATTTGTCTTTATTTTCTAATTGGATTTATTTGCTGTATCCAGAGTTTACATCTATTATCAGAAAGTAGCACCAAGTTTGGTGGTTTTAAATATATCTGTATGTTTTTATCACAAAATCTAAGGAGCTTTATTCTTTCATCTATTTCAGCCAATGCCAATAAGCAAAGTGCCAATAAGCAAAATGGCTCTCATAATAGTAGCTCTGATCGTGATAAACACAGAGAGTAAGAATTAACAAATCAAATACATCTGCATAATAAATTGAGCATAATTACAATCTCCTTGCAGATATTTTGTGACCAGAAAAGGCAGATAAATTATTCACTGTAAATTACTCACTCAGCTATAATCACACGCACAGAGGAACTGCTACAAAGGAATTAGTTCAGGAATTAGAGGCCACAGGGATAAATGCATTACTGAACCCATAACCCTGAAAACTGGAAAAATAGATAAAAGAAATCATAGAATTGGAGTTGAAAAGAACCCTGGGGGTCATCTAGTCAAAGCCCCTGCAATGCAGGAATCTCAACTAAAGCATCCATGACAGATGGCCATTCAACCTCTGCTTTAAAACCCTCAAGGAAGGAGAGTCCACTATGTTTCAAGGGAGTCCATTCTACTGTTGAACAGCTCTTACTGTAAAATTATTCTTCCTGATGTTTAGTGGGAATCTCCTTTCTTGTAACTTGAAGCCGTTGGTTTGGGTCCTACAGTCCAGAGTAGGAGAAAACAAGCTTCCTCTACCATTTGACAGCCCTTTAGATATTTGACGGTGGCTATCATATCTCCTCTCAGTTTCCTCTTATCTAGCCTGAACATACCCAACTCCCTCAACCATTCCTTGTAATGCTTGGTTTCCAGATCCTTGAACATCTTGGTTGCCCTCCTCTGCACATGTTCCAGCTTGCTGATATTCTTCTTAACTTGTAGCACACAGAACTGGACACAGTACTCTAGGTGTTGTGTGACCAAGGCAGAACAGAGCAGGACTGTGACTTTCCTTGATGAGGACACTATACTTCTGTTGATGAAGCCTAGAATAGCATTAGTTTGTTTTGTTACTTCATCACACTGTTGACACATGTTAAGCATGTGGTCTACAAAGACCCATAGATCCCTTTTCACATGTACTGCTGGTGGTAAGTCAGGTGTCCCAGATCTTATATCTGTGTAGCTGGTTGTTCCCGCCTAAGTGTAGAACCTTATATTTGTCTGTATTGAATTTCATTTTGTTGCCATATGCCCTCTTTTTCCAGGACACATCCTCTTTTCATGGGTAGAGTCTTCATAGTGATCCATAGTTAAAAATAGAAGTTGGCAAACGTGTTCTCTTTTTTGATTTTCAAAATACGGCAACCCTAGTTCTCTAGTCTGTTATGGTCATCTTGAATCCCAATTCTGTTTTCTGTGGCATTAGCTACTCCTCCCAGATAGGTGTCATCTGCAAATTT